CTTCACGTTGACGTCGCAATGCCCATCATTGGCACGGACTTAATTAATCAACATGATTTACTCGTAGACGTCCGCCGAAAACGACTGATTGACAATACTACTAGTCTGTCTAACAAAGGCACTACCTACATAGGCCCCAGTTTGTCACCCGTTAAGATAAAGGCAATTGTCAATGTAGTTGAAGATTGAACGACCAATTCATGGTTGTTTGCTCAAAACCAACTTCCACAATTTGTTCATATTGTTAATATTGCATATACTGAATTGATATCATCTTTCATCTGTCTGTTGATAATTTTGTTTGTGTACGGACGTCTTCCACTTGGATCATCAACCTGAGAAGGAATGTAGGCGTACTGCTGTAAGTCCCACAATTCTTCAAGGGTAGTTCGTCAAGCCAGAATCCACAACATTTGATGTGTTGATTGTACATATGTTTGTGTTAAATAATTGTGTGAGTTCCAATTGATGTAATTGTCGGTTAATCTTGTTTGTGTCCGGACATTCCACAAATTACAATCGTCAAACTGTGAAGGGTTGCAGGTGTACTGGTGTAAGTCTCGCGATTCTTCAAAAGAATTCCACCAAGACATGATCGGCGAGTTTGTGTGTACTGTTTGTATATATGTGTGGTGTGTCATATCAATTGGTGTATTTTGGATCCATTGTGTTTACTTGTCGTTTTCGTGCCTTGTTGTTATTACATAATTTTGTTAAACTTCGTCGTGATTACTTCTGAAGTTGTTTCGAGTATTCTACATCCGTGAATGAATTGATTGATCTTAGAGACAGCAGATGGGTTGTATACGCCGGGGAGGCTAGGCTATTGCTGAGAATGACATGCACACGGAGATAATTGTTAGCTGTGGTCCCACACGCCGAGGAGAAAGTGTATACGACTGAGGCTCGCATACGTCATCGTTACTAGAATTGAGGCAGAATGAGTGACAAGCGATTTCAGTGGTAATTGGTAGTGAGTAGATAAGAGAATGAGCGTTGAGTATCGTGAGGTGGTGCCATGGTCACGTTGCACTCTGCAAGAGTCATTCTAGCAAGTGGCGATTGTGTTGGAAGAGGATGCCTTTAACTGGAAGGCGCAGGTCGTCAGCGATGTGTGAGATTGTGCTGTGGGTATGCTTGTGGTGTGTTGGCTTTTCTGTTTGTTTTCCATTTCAGCTCTGTCCGTGTGACCCAGGTTCTCGCAATGGCATCCAAGTCAACGTGTAGTGGTCGTGATGGAAAAAAGGGGTTGGACCCATTTTTGCCTGGGAGTGTCAATGGAGTTGAAGATTGAACGATCAATTCATGGTTGTTTGCTCAAAACCAACTTCCCCAATTTTCGCGGAGGCATCAATACGACAGTCATCGTCTCATCGGTCGCTGTTCAGAAAGAAGTCAGCAGTAAGCCGTCAGAAACCTTAGTGGACACATTTTTTATATGTTGGTGTTACAATAAAGAATCCTCGAGTGGCCAATCGGTGTTTTGGTTATTTCGTCCGTTATTACTGAGCGTTTCTGAGAAACTTCAAGGAACAGCGTGAGCCCGAGCGTAGCAAGAGCTGGGCATTAACGGTTTACGAGACGTGGCTGACAGCAATCCTTGATCCAACTTTTCAACCTATTGTTGACAAATATCCGGAACTTAATTGCCCGTCTAACGACCTACCGTGCATAACCAGCGATGTTGTGCACCACATCACTACCTCAGGACAGCCTGTGACATCTAGAGGACGACGACTGGCTCCTGACAAACTTAGAATCGCTAGGAATGAGTTTGACCATACGCTTACCCTTGGTATCATTCGACCTTCGAATAACCCATGGGCATCCCAACTTCATATGGTATCGAAAAGGATAGCAATGATTGTCGACCCAATGGTGATTACCGGCGAGTGAATGCCAAAACAACCCCTGATTGCTACCCGTTGCCCCATATACACGGCTTGACGGCAACATTATCTGGTGGGGCTATATTTTCTAAAATCGACTTGGTTAAAGCGTATAAGCAGATCCCGATGGCAACAGAAGATATTCTGAAACAGGCTATCGTTGCGCCTTTCGAACTTTTTGAATTTCTACGTATGCCATTCCGTCTCCTGAATGCAGCCCAAACATTCCAACGCTTCATCGATGAAGTATTTTGCCGTCTCAAATTTGTATACGCATACTTAGACGACTGCCTCCTTGCCAGTCCAGACAAGGAAACTCACCTCAGACACTTGAACTTGGCATTCGAAAGGTTACGCCGACATGGTGTCACCATCAATATCCGAAATTTTCAGATAGGCGTTGACTAACTCCACTTTCTGGGCCACATTATTGCCTGCAAGGTCAACCGTCCACTGGCTAGTAAAGTTGAGGCGATGCCGAACTTTCTAGAGCCATAGACAGTGAAAAGTCTCCGCGCTTTCAACGGCTTGGTAAGTTCTTACCGACGGCTTATTCCCAACCGTACTTCTCTCATTCAGCGACTAAGAGACCTTCTTCTAGGGAGTAACAGTTCCATCGAACTCGACGCGGCTGCTCAAAATGCTTTCGCTCAGGTTAAAAAGCCATTGCGGATACCACACTTCTTATATTTCAGGATCCAATGACACCGTTAAGTATCTCGGTCGGTGCATCAGACACTGCAATCGGTGCGGTTCTACAACAGCTGGTTAACAAAGAGTGGTAACCACTCGCCTTTTTCCCCAGGCGCCTTCAATTAGCTGAAACGAAGTACAGCACATTCGGCAGAGGACTTCTGGTTACGTACTGTGCTATATGTCATTTTCGACATTCAATGGAGGGTCGTGAGTATATAATTTTCCCCGACCACAAACCTCTGACGCACTCTCTGAACCCAACTTCAGATAAGGATTCATCTAGAGTTTCCCTTATTAATGCATTTATTAGTGATACTTGCACTTACCTATTTCATTACAATTTAATGATTCACCTTAGCACTTTAATTCTTCTAAAACAGCTTTCAATCCCTTGTTAAAGTTGTACTTACCTCAATATTGGTTGGTTATCGTATGCCGACAACCACGGGATGAAAACGAAACGAAGTCGATTTTCCCGCTCAACCTGGAGGACAATTGTACATTTCAATAACTATACGGCCTGGTTCAGACAATCAGTATATATATATATCAAATATTTAACTGTCGAAATATTACTAACTTGTAGACAATCTACGATTTGAAATTTTAACATACTTGATCGTGCCTGTAAAAATGGCATGCATTTTCATGTAAATTTATGTTTATATGAAAATATACATTATTATTATTATTAGAAAATCACGACAACTGTACTACGTTTCACAGTTTACAATGGATATTCATCAAATGTTCGGAGTGAACAACACTGTGGCAGATGCCTCGTCGCGCATTTGTTCCCTCACTCAAGTAGTTGACATAGACCTTGTAAAACTGACTCGTTTTCAGAAAGAAGATATCGAGCTTCAATATGAGTTGTCGAAAACAACTCTACAATTATCTGAGAAACCCTCAGGTATGGGAAGAGACACTATTCCATGCGACATTTCCACGAGTACTCCTCGCCCAATCGTTCCTAAAAGTTATCGCCGTAACGTCCTAAGTACGTTGCATGGCTTATCTCACCCAGGTATTCGAACTACTGTCAAGCTCATAACTAGTCGGTTTTGTTGGCCTGGCATTAATAAAGAATTAAGGGAATGGGCACACACGTGCTTAGTCTGTCTAAAGTACAAGGTGATAAGACAAACCAAAAGCCCACTTGGCACCTTTCTTCTCCCTGACGCTCGTTTTGAACACATCCATATAGATTTAGTTGGACCCCTTCCTGAATCCTATGGATATACCTATATTTTAACCTGCATCGATCGATTCACACGATGGCCGGAAGCAGTACCCATCAAGGACGTTGTCAATGTAGTTGAAGATTGAACGATCAATTCATGGTTGTTTGCTCAAACCCAACTTCCCCATAATTTATGTGGGTCATCAATCCGACAGTCATCGTCTCATCGTTCGCCGTTCAGAAGGAAGATTGAAAATCTGTCAGAAGTAATATCGTAATTTATTGTTGTAATATTTGTTCTTAGACCTTCTTCTGTAATAACATTATCGTTGTTAGATTACAACAAATAAGATAAGATAAAGAAAAACTATAAAACTAAAATTTCAAAGTCGTGTGATCGAAATTGATATGATTATGAACAATAAATTGAGTTCGAAACGTCATCTAGCATATAATACTGTTTCACTGTGTGATACATCTAATAAAAAAACTAATATGAAACATTATCGTTGGTTATATGTTGGCGTAAGAATAAAGAATTCTTGAGTCGCCAAACAGTGTTTTGGTTTTCGCGCTGCTTAATACGAAGCGTTTCTGAAGGTCTTCAAGGGACAGCGTGAGGTCCAGCGTAGCGAGAGCTGGACATTGACAGTTTATGAGACTTAACTGACAGACGTATCTGCTGAAACAGTCCACGCGTCCTTGTAGAAAGATGGATCGCTAACTTTGGGTGCCCATCTTCCATAACAACTGATCGCGGGCGGCAATTCGGAACTGGCTTATTCTTCGGCCTGAATAAAATCATAGGTCGCATGCGTTTTCGAACAACAGCCTACCATCCTCAAGCTAATGGTATGGTAGGACGTCTACACAGACAGTTGAAAGCTGGTCTGTCAGCTGCGAACAACACCCGTTGGACTGAATCACTTCCGTTAGTTATCCTAGGGATACGAAACGCCCTGAAAACCGATGCTGGTTGTACTGGCGCCGAGCCAGTATATGGCACGACACTACAAACGCCTGGTGAATTTGTTTCTCCCTCGAGCTTCCCACCAGTGGTAGATCACCCTTTATACGTCAGCAGGCTTAACAACGCAATGCTTTCAGTTAAACCAGAGAATAAGGCAGAGAGTGGCATGTCAGGATCTGTAATAATAGTGAACGGACCTGATAACTTGGATGGTTTGAGAGAGTTTCTCTCCAAGATAACCCCCGTTACCGACATACACAAGATGGAGCCTGCTCCTGTACTGGCTACGGTGGCAAACTTGAACATCCTAAAGAGCCGGCTGCAGTCAGAGAAGTTAACGTTCCAGGGAAAACTGCTCGAGATAATACCTGTGGACCAATCAAGCGATGTTAGAATGACTGAAAACCTGTTTATTACTGGGATCCCTAAATCCACTACTATTGTAAGTTCTGACTTTTCCTAAGTTTCTCTACCATCTACAGGATCAACTAAAAGGTTATCTTCCTGATAACTGTCAGCCTATCGACTTTAGACTGTTAGATAGGAATCCACGTTACAACAGCATGGTTATGGCATTCTCCTCCATCGAAGCCGCCACAAAGGTCTGTGAGCTGCTCCGTTCTTGGAAGCTAGGAGGTCGGTATATGAGAGTTTCCTTTACTGACTGTATAGCACGTAAGCGCACAACTTGTCCATCATGTAACTAACACGTTTTTTTCTAGAAAAAAGTTATGATCTCTACCCAGCAATCGTGGTTCCCAACTTCACTGCTAATCCTGATCGTTTACGCCAGTTATTCCCAACTTCCATCGATGTTCAACTAGATCGTGAGAGAAGGTGAGTAGTAGCGCTGGTTTCTGTTCCTTTCTCGGACCGAATGAGGCCACCCGAGGGTCTCACCATTTGGTGGACTTGTGAATTTCCCATAGTTGATTGGTTTTGCCTTGTTAGGAAGTTAGCTAATTGAATGATTCTTCTGTTTTTCATCCAATCCAGGAAAGCCTATGTCAAGTTCCCCTCACTGGAAGTCAGACAAGCTGCCATCTCAGAACCTAAATTCTTTGATGGCAAAAAGCTGTCAATTGGACTTGTAGGTGGACCAGAGCTAAAAACGGCTGTAATCTTACGTGTACCAGCCAGTGTACAGGATTCGGAACTCGAAAGTCTATTCCCTGGTGTGGTTTCACTGTCACGTCAACCCAGGTCCCCTAAAGACAACTCTCCGTAAGTTCTGTGCTGCTCTTTGCTTTTGTTTGTTACGGTGTGCCTGTTAATTTCTGTTCGAGACTGATTAGGCTTCTTGAATAACAAACAACTTGATCGTCACTTGTCTAGCTCCTTGTAACTAAGTATGCATTTCATTTGTTTCAGAGCCATCATCGCTGAGTTTAAAACAGCTGCTGACTTCTCCAAAGCTCTTTCTTCACCTGTGATTTTGAAGGGACAAAAGCTGCTGATATTCCCCAAAGGTACGTTTGGTGGCAGGTGACCTATCTCCTCACGCCTTTCAATCGGCCAGATTGTTGCCCTTACTGAGTGCTCTTTGAGTCTTGTTGACGTTTTTCGAACAAGTTATAACTCGACATTTTTTCGTTTCAGCCATATTCGTCGATGACGTCCCCCAGAAAAAAATTGAAAGCATCAAATCCACACGACAAGATGGACCCCCTGCTAAAAAGAACAAAGGTTAGTTCCCATTCAGTTCTCTACAGACAGTTGCTAGCTATTTCCCTTGGTAACTATACAATCTTTCTTGTTACTCGTTACAGCTGCCGAGGAGACCGGTGACGAAGACAAGCTAAAACTCAAAGTTAACAAGATTCTGAAGGCGAAAGAAATTGATGATGCTGGTGATGAGGAAGTTGAAGAGGACGATGATGACGAGGATGATGATGAGGGTGACGAAGAAGACAGCGAGGAAGAAGAAGAAGAGGAGGAAGAAGATGACGACGACGACGATGAAGATGAGGACGAGGAGGATGACGACGACGACGATGATGATGAGAGTGAAGAAGACGCTCGCATGACGTCATCCAATGACCAGAAGAATAAGAAACCGCAAAATATGTCCTACAAAAAGCCATTTGGTGATGTCCAGAGGATGAACAATCGCCCTGGAGGTGGGGCTAACTTCAGAGGCAGTCCTAAATTCGGTGGCAACCCAAAGCATAATTCACAACGTGGTCGTGGGGGTCAGTCTTTCCGTGGTCGAGGTGGTCAGTCTTTCCGTGGTCATGGTGGTGGTCAGTCCCCGCGCGGTCGGGGTGGTCAGTCTTTCCGTGGTCGGGGCGGTAATAGAGGAGGCTGGTCCAAACGAGGCAGTCATAACAAAGAAAAATAAACAAATTTCTTGTATATCTGAATTGCAAATAAATTTCCGTAAATGAGTTGCTTTTTTACTTATAGATAGCTTTCAGTTGCTAAACGAGGTTTCCGTTTCAGACCGAAAATATGTCCGTTTCACAAGCATACCAATCCAATCAGGCTACCTCATTGGCTGTATACAATCTACCCTGCTCAGCCAATGAAACGGAGGTCCAGTCGATATTTCCCTCAGCTAAGTCAGTGAGCATCGTACGCAGTCATTCAGTGCCTCCACAGTCGAAAGGGTGAGTCGAAATAGCCGAATATCATGATTCGTTGTTTATGTACTGTATAAAGTCCGCTAAGTCCGAAAGTAACTCGTGTCCGTTTCACTCCGTTTTGCGAGCAGTAGGTTCAGTAAAGTTCGTACCCGTTGTTTTTGTTTGGCAAGTTAACTGTCCAGTGGTGAACCTCGATATTTTAATGATGTTCAGTTAGTACGTTTCTAAGAACTGACTTCGATCTTTTACCTTTCTACCTTTTGTTACTGGTGACATAGGTGTGCCATATTGACCCATTCGTGTAATATGAGCAGGTGGTACCATTTGCAGGGGGAGTGAAATGCGGAAAGGGGGACCCGGACTCTACTGACGGGAATAATCTGAGTTATTCGAAAGATCTGTCTACGGGGTCTTATTGTAAAGCTTATTCGCTTCCCATAGAACGACATGCATTTATTACTTACGATCCAATCCGCTCCCTATTTGCTCTCTTTTTCTGTTTCATATATGAAACAGCATGTGCATCTTGCAATTCAACAATGCTCGTGATTGTCAACAAGCCTACGATGAATGTCTTCAAGGCAAGGAAATCGACGGTCAGCTGTTGCATGCAGAATTCAACGGAGGTAAGTCGGTTCTTTCAGTGTTGATAACCATTACAAGTGATTCGGTGATTATTTCGTATGCCCCCTTACTTTTCCAGAACGTCGCTACAGTTCATCAGAAAACTTACACACTAGCCAACAGTACGGAGGACATTCCAGGGATTTCAGACGTCCATACTCAGAGAATGATTACGGTCACCAAACCTATGACAATAATGGGGCTGATGGTGACGGTTCGTCCAGCACTTCTTGTACGCTTACTGTGTCGAATCTCCCATATTCTGCGTCAGAAAGGGATATTATGCGTGAGTTTCCGGAGGCATTACGAGTTGCACTCTCACTCGATGAACAGGGGCGTTCAAGAGGGTAATTCTGTTTTAAGTCTAATTACTTGTAGTGTTGCTCATGTGACATTTTCAAACTCGGAACAGTGCAGCGCTGCTCTCACCTCTTGTGGCAATAAAATGATGGGGGAAGACCTGTTCGTGGACGTATTCAAAGAGGTAATAGCCTGCTCAGACACATTGTATGTGACGATGTTCATTACAGATCAGGAAAGCACCCAGCAGTCAAGTTATAATAATAATAACAACAACAACCAGAGGTCTTACCACCGTGATCAAAGAGAACATGGTCAGCGTAACCAACGAGATTATAATCAGCGCCACTTCAACAACCGGGACCACAGCAACCAGCGTGAGAATGGCAGTCAAAGAGACAATAACCAACGTGATTACGGCCAACGGGACTTTAGCAACAGACAGGGTAAGTTCAGTAACTCTTACAGTTGGCCGTATTTCCTCGCGATTTTGTGGCACGCTTTGAATCTAATTCTCCTTGTTTGTAGGGAGACAGTTTGACTACAATTCCGGGAGAGGAGAAAGAGATATGAATCGTTTTCAAGGCGGGTCAGGAAACAGAGGCGGACCTCGTGATTTTGGAAGGAATGACAGATTTGATCGGTCGGATCAAAGACGAGATCGCAGTCCAGCTAGGGGAGAACCTGTCCGTGGGTATGGTAGTTCCAAAGGGCCACGGATAACATCAGCTGTGATTCACCGCCCAGGAAATGCCAGCCCCTCGGAGTCCTCCTCTTCCGACGAAGACTGAGCGGCATCCAGTATCCTCTTCGTAAGAATTCCCCCAAGGATGCATCATTTGTGAATTCTTTTACCGACTCGCAAATTGAAGTCTAAACAAGTGAATGCTCGTGGTCTAATGTTGACAATCCATCGGTGTTGTAGTCCAATATAAATTTTCACTTCAGCAGACTTTTCGTGTAGTCGTAACGGGGGTGGTGGGCGATTATTATTCGTTTCCAGCCGTTATAGTAGTTGTGTAGAGGTTGGAGATTCAGACAGCTTGCGATACCGTTATGCCAGTGTTGGGTCCATTCATCAGTAGTGTGTATGAACAACGTTCATGGTCAACGATGGCGTTGGATGTCCTGGTGTGGCATGTGATTCGCATCAAGAAATCGGTTAGTACCTCAAAGTCCCACATATAATGCATATTCTTTCCCGTCCTAGTAAAAATGATCAACATTCTCAGGACCCTGACGAGGTGTCTGGAGTGCGCACAAGGGAAGCGCTGAGAAAGTTCGAAACGACCTATGAAATTGATGACAGTCACTACCACTACCGGAGTCAGTCAGTGAGTGAATAAGGGACAGACTATGATGATGGGGTGAGGTTTTGTTTGACCACAGAGGAGTTGAATAAGCATGGGTCCCGGGAAACTCATCCTGTATAGGCTAGGAAGACCGGTGATCACTAGGTTGGCTCTGTTCTTTGTCATCGCTGAGTTGTCCATGTAGTGTATTTGATGGTGGACGTTAACTATTCCGGTAGAAGCAGGCGAACTGTTTGCTGTCGCTCCATGCGTAGTGTGAAAGGCATGACAAGGGTTTGCGTCACTAAAGCTGCCAGTGTTTTAATTGGTGCATAAGCCCCCTCCAAGCTTAGTTGATCTCACCAGACTTTCGACCTCTCAATTTCCTCATCACTACACTTCTCTTTCACATGTCACGGTCGGTGACTGATTGGTTTCCTGGCCTCCGCAGTCCTGACTGTTAACGTTGTAATTGACGATGAGACCACCCCACGCCATGTGCAGCATTTTACACATTTCTGCGTCGGTAGGACCAAGGCGTAGTCCTTCAGGGAGTAAGATAGCTGTTGGCTATACTTCTCACGTGTTATTTACTTCAAAAGCACACACTGCACTGTACATATCAAAGAGCTGACCTGTATTATCATATCTAGGGTCTTCAGCGCTATTGCCTCAAGATACGCAAATCATTATCGTCGCTATTCATGCCCACCAAGGTCGATCAACCTCTTCAAGACTTGAGAGAATGCTATAGCGGCGGACATTAGGGTATTTCCAGATGATCATAGCTGTACATGGCTGGATCCGAGGTATTGATCGGGTGTGTGGGTCGACACGCTAAATGACTGGTTCACGCATCAGTGTTGAACATCGAACAGACGTGTATTACTTCAAGTCAATCCCCAATAACAAACCTAAATATTTGGGATGTATTACCTAGAAGTGGCACTTGCATTTCTTTCTCTCTCGTCACTAGCTGTTGCCAGTGTTAATTGCAAAGGCTTTTCCTCGGTTTACGTTCAAGTAATCATCACCCTTCGCCAAACACGGAACGTATCACATTCGGTTCTGAAGGGACTGCGACAGACCACTAGGCTCGACTAACGTAATCGTGTTCAACCCAAATTTGCAGTCGATCAGAAGAACTTAGTTTTGGGTAGACTCGCAATAATATTAATTATTGGCGATTCGATTCAAGGATATTTGGTTTCACCGTTAGTACTGCTCATCATGGTGGTTGAAATATATTTCGGAGTGATTCGAATTAGGTACGAAGGTGTATTTGTGTCTCATTTACGGGTTATAAAACTAGTATTGATTATTACTGATAATGGTATTTATTATTGATTTCTGGATTTGTAGTACAGTGGGACAAAAAGCAATCTCGTATTTTGCACTGTTTGGATTCGGATAGGGATGAATTTTCACCTAGAAAAAGAATGTGGAAAATAACAGCGTTAAGAATATATTCGATAGCTTACGGTTAACATTTCTCGATCCGTTTGTCAACTGACCTAGCATACATTCAAGTAAACATTAGGATGAAGTCTAAGCTGTTCGGAGTAATAATAATTATGATAATTCAAAATTGGTAGTGACAGTGAATTTGTCAAACTGTAATTTCACTTTTTCCCGTATAACTGGAATTTGAGGTTATGTGCAAACGTCACCCAAAAATTTTTGTCAAGGAAGTACAAAAATCCAAATTGTGAGTAGTTGTTATACTGAACTGTTGTCAGAATCCTGCGACTTTGCTGATATCAGCGGAAACTAAGCTTCTGTGCACTGTTGTTTTAGGTGGAAAGCAGAAAGAATAAGTAACCAAGCGTACCGCTGGTGGATGTCATAGCAGCAAGGAGTTAGCCACTTGTTACCATCAAAGCTGCTCGAACAGTGGTGGGATAAAAATGTCAGCATGAGAAATTGTACATCATGACTTACCTTCTGACGGTAAAACCTAATTATGGACACAACCTCAAAAACCAATTGAAACAGGCCGTGTGTTTCCGACCAGAAACAGTTTTAACCTAGGTTCTTCGGCCACGCAACACTGTTGCTCCCTTTGTATCGGGCACTGCAAGAAAAAATAACTTCCTCAGTGAAGGCTGCCGGGGAGTAACAAATACACACAGCTTTCCTGATCATCACCCACCTTCATGCTCTTGCTTTCTTCCCATTGCTATTGCTATCCCACAGGTAGGTGCCTCACCTCTTAACTCTGAAACGATAGGCAGCGGCAAGAGCTGGAAGAACACTACTGACAGTCTCTTAAAACCATGCTGACAACTTCCTATTTAAGTATTTAGTGTTTGGACCCTTTGTTAAATCAGCAAACATACTCCACTAACCAGAATCCTGACACCTCAAGACATGGATGTGTGTTGTGTTTCAGAGACACACACACAAGGCCGAAGTGTGGCTACTCACTCTACCCCACATGACTCACATGGTGGATCTTCAAAATTCGTCTGACGAGTGTCAAGAGATTATTCAGCTGGCTCGCAAGGATTTCCGGGTGTAGGGATAGCACTGAGTGCTAGGATGGAATAATCCCTGCTTGACTGCTATCCAGTGGGTAGTCGTATGTGTTCTGTCCGGCTGAACTCATTCAACAGAAGAAGGAGAGATTGTGATACTCGTTGGTGTCGTTTCACCATCTCTACCTAATCTCCAACAGACTTCAGTTCACATGCAGTAGATGATGAGTTCTGTGAAAAGCTGTCTAGTTCGCTGAGAAAAGCAAAACGCTCAGATATAGTTGTCCTAGCAGATTGGAGAGTTGTAACGGCGAGAAGAGTAGGCTGTCTGGACCTATGGAGTCCTGTGTTGTCGAACCGACAGCAGTGGTCGTGTTCTACAATTCTGTTGAGATAATAATCTGTTCCCGGTCAGCACTAACTTTAAACGTGAAGAGAGAAATTGTCTAGCCCGTCGAACTCCCTTATTAAATCGATGATGGATTTAAATAGATCACGTAGCGATAAGCAACCGATGGCGAAGGTTGGTAGAAGTCTGTCACAACGTACGGAACACCTGTGTAGTCTCCGACTACTCTCCAGTCGGCGCACGTATGTATATGCCCACCACTGAACAGACATAGAAAACAGGCTGCGATGAAGCCATCACGTATGGAACTTGAATACAATACAAAGTCTTTATTTAAGGAAGAAACAGTTACACGTATACCTGAGTTTGACAGGAAGACTCATTCTGAAGTAATTCTGGATGAATAATATCCAGTCGGTGGTGCAACGGTTAGGATGCTCGCCGACCATGCACATGGTTTGGGGTTCGATCTCCGGCCGACAAACTCCTTTACCTCACTCAGCCAGAAGTAAAGCTGGTGAAGAGGAAAGGTTGGACATGGGCTAGCAACCCCATCCTGTAAAATTAAACACTGCTACAGAAACTTCAAGTCACTAGCTTGAAGCCCTATGTTCCACTGGGAACGTGAAGGAAAAATTATTATTAATATCCAGTCAGCTGCAGAAATGGTGGTAAAGACTGATGGTAGCTGAGTTGGACGATTTTTATTTGGTTGTGTTTCCCGAGCTTGTTGATAAGAGATACAATTATTCCATTCGTGGAGAACCCATACAAGTTCCCTTCATATAGTGGCCTGGGCTAAACATGTTGTTGTTTCGAAGGACAACGGAAGTCTCTCAATTAATCCGACCAGAACACAACCAAACAAAAAAGTGATTAAAACAATTAATAACTTATAGCCGGAGGATAGTGAATCCCAGTGGGTGTCTGCCACTTAATTCGGAGTGACAGACTCAAGGAGACCGATTCCAGTGGACTGTAGGCTTGATGAGGAGTGGAGGTGGTGGTACGCAAGCTCACGAGTCTTCACCACGACGGCGGACGGTGGTGGGCCACAGAAGTTAAAGGAATGAAAAAAGGCAACGGAGGTAGGCATCATCAGGTAACTATTTGGTCTCAGTAGGGAAAATGGTTGTAAAAGACAAATGATAAACTAAACAATCTCCAAGACGAATGGCATTTTTAATTACTTATCAGAATAGAAGATTAGGACATTGGAGGGAGCAATTTAACTCTCTGTTTTGAGCAAGGACGGTTAATGCTACAACAGGCAGTAGGAAGACTTTCATGTGAAACTGATCGAAGTGATAACTAGTTATCTATCTTTGCAGTCATTCACATACTGAGAGTATTACTTTTATCATGTGATCAGACACAGAAGTACAGAGCTACCTACCACTCTCCAATGGATTATTTGCACAGTTTGTTTCCAATGAATCCATGAAAATTAGATAGATAATCTGAATTCCAATAAGGTATCAAAATCTAGTGAAGGCACTATTTGTTCAAAACCAGGAGATATTATCAACTCAAGTGCAGAGATTGTCACTCCAGTTTCTCCTATATCAGGGGAGAAGGAGGAATTCTCACCAGTACCATCTAAGTGCCACGTAGCTGAAAATGCTCCTGCAGATACTTTAAACGTGGCTGGTGAAACCTCTTTTGAAGTTCAACTCATTTCAAGGAATTTTGAAGATTTGTGATATCTTACCAGTCATCATGATTCGGATCTTTTGATTGGACACTAGTAACTAGTGTGACGTTTCTAGTCCTTTCTTTGGCGCAGACTGAATTTTATCAGTACTAATTCAATTGATGAAACTTGCTTTGTTTTGATGCTGTCTGACTATTTTGGATAGTTGGTTTTTTTCCATCACGTGGAACATAGGGCTTCAAGCCAGTGTCTTGAAGTTTCTGTAGCAGTGGTGTTTATTTTTACAGGATGGGGTTACTGACCTCATGCCTAACCTTTCCTCTTTACCAGCATTATTTCTGGCTTAGCGGGGTATAGGAGTGCGTCGGCGGCCGGGGATTGAACCCCGGACCATGTCCATGGTCGGCAAGAGTGCTAACCGCTATCCCACCGATGCATAGTTGGTTACATAGGTTGAACTATTATTGTCAGTAGCGAAGATTCATTCACTTTTTGTAATATCCCAAATGCATTAAATCCTGATGTTTCTCCACGTTACTATTTTGGTTTCCGTACATTTCTGCTCTTTTACTCTTTTCTCTACTGTTGTTTGCTACATGGAAAGTGACAAATTGAATTGAAGTGCCGTAAATGTTTGCAAAGTTTTACGTCGAAACTCAGTCAATCCAAACATAAAGGAACAGTCCCCTGGCATACTAGACCTCTGTGAGTTTTTTGTAACTATCTAGGCCTGTTTTGGTTGACGTCTACAATAACCACCAATGAAACAAGCAGCCCAATAGGTGTGAGACTTAGGGTACACAGCAATCGATCTAGCTTAAAGTGTTAGTGGTGTCCATCTTATTGAATAGTGTTTCACGACTGGTTCTTAAAAAGCAGAAGTTCAAAATTACTGGGTCCCAAACAAACTACCTCTAAGTTCGTTAGGCGGTAAAACGCATCATTTTGCCTACTTTTAAAATCTGGTCAGTGATCAGATCAACCATAAAGGAAGGATAAAGCAGCAAGAAACTCTGGAAACGGACCAACCAAGAACCTTCGGCCCAAACAAATAGGCTGAAGGGAATGGGGATGGGTCGGACACACACTGAAGAGACCGTTCTGTGACATTATAAACCAGTCGGTCGAGTAGAACCTGGATGGGGAACGGGGAGTTCGTCATTCGAGGGTGTCATGCGCGGGAGGGGGGAATCGTGTGAGTAGGAGATGAGAGACTATGGGTAATCGTATAGCCAGCCAACTGAAAACGACTTCAGAGAACAGGATGAAATGGAGAAGTGCTCCCGAAGTCCTTGTTACACTCGGAACCTGACGTAATTATAACAATATAGGTTTCCTTTTATTGACCTATGTTATTATATCTTACAGATTCAATCGATTAATCGGAGAAAAATTTAAAGTGGAATGTTGTGCATACATTTCGTGCTGGTAGAACTCACCTAACTGTCTTATCTATTGTTCAAACATTTTCTTGACTATTACTTGGTTGATCCAGTTGTCCCTGTTTATTAGTTGACCTGAGAGCATGACTATTTTGTTCCTGAGATTTCTGTGATAACTGTCGACTGTCATTTGTGCATATTTCGTTGTTTCGATTAACATTGTTGTTGTTGTTGTCGTCACTGCTGGTGATTAAAGTGTTGAGATCAGTGATGGTTGATTGTTCTTCGTATGTGACGCTATTATTTTCAGTGTAGTTCTGATTGGATACAGGCATATTTATTGATTGTTTATTTCTTATAGAACCACCATTAGCTGAAATCGCTTTAGCAACAGCCTCAGCTTCAGTTTGTAGACGACTGATTCTATGACACAGCATAGCCAGGCTAATATCTGCAGGTTCTGAAAAGTCTTGTGTTTCAGCCAGTATATTCTCGGGACTAATCATGAAATTGGATTCTTTATTGTGGACCACTAGAATGTGAAAAGAAGACAGAAAAACAACACAATATCGTACACGGATACACACACGCACGATTGTGAGAATAAGAATAGGACGTTAATTATCATTCTGAATTCATCGTAGTAATAGTTGGTTTCGAGCTGGAATTTGAACTCCCCACTACAGTTTCTGATGCCCAGTGATTTGCATTGTTATCAGGAATCTTAAGAGGAGATGATCCAAATGTATGAAATATACGACATGAGAGGGGGGAAAATAATTGCTCCCTGGAAATACATATCTGTGACGACCGTTTATGCATTCACATTATTGTTCCATGAAGGTCCAGGAGCCTGAGTTCGAGATCATCAGTCATTTGAATAGTGCTATAGGAATTCCCTTTCCAGGTATTAATGAGAACGAAGCGTGAAAATTAATGAAACCGTGGTGTTCATTGCTTTCATATCCAGTCGTTGGCATCTTTTCTGCAAGTGCTATGACTTTCATCTTTCCACTTTATACACTACAGTTTACGCCTGTCTTCTGACAAATCTCCGTCTAGAAAGATTCATTTTGAAACATTCCATCAATTATTGGACCTGTTGAGCTTATTGTTTAATGTTCAACAGGCGAGTCCATCTCTTGGCGTGTTTAAGCGGTTGTTCCTCATTCAACGTCCGGTACACAGTGAAACATGGTGAGTGGCTCCTTACACTAATTCAGATTGTTTGATAACATGATTTCTGATTTTCCTCCTTATTAACTAACATATTGTTCATCTTTCAGGGTCGTTCAAAACAATCACGTGAGTGCTCGTCTTCTTATTCTGCTCGTCGCGTACCTTTTCCCAATGTTGCTTAAGAAATTGTCTTAATTTTAGTGAATAATTCTGCAGTTAAGTCTCCGAAACCTGGAACGACTCCCGAATTTAAGATCAAGAGCCCTATGAACGGCAAAACAACGCCAATGAGACCTGGCTCCAAGCGACCAGTCCCGGTCGGTAGCGAGGAAAGTGAATCAGATGTCGAAACTGTCATGTCAGATGACCGCATTGCCAGTTTGAAAGCATCAAACAAGGTATGTGACAACATTTTTGCATGTTACGACAAATACGATATATTTTAGAACTCTTGCATATTGATTTGCCTGTAGCTTATGTAGCCTCACTGGCTGGTGACGTGCACGTGGCTATTAGACGATACTGCATATCTTCTTCGTCTCTAAGTAATAGACTTTTTATTCTGAAGTGTGCTCTCAATAACGAGTGGTTAATCTCAAGTAATCCGAACAGTCACTGTAACTTATCGCTCAGGAGCAACGGCATGACCAGCGCGAGTCGAGGGTGAACACGAACAACCAATTGATATGAACATTGTCTATATTGGATACCTTAATTGATGAAAACAGTGTACGCACGACCCCTGGGTATAAAACATCGACCGAATTCTTTTCTCCTGGGTAGAAAACTGTAAGACTGAGATCCTTGCTGAAAAGCAGTGGGCTCTAGGGTCACCGGCTTGTCAGGGGCGTGTAGTACGGGTTGTGATTAGATGTGAGTAAGAGGCGGTCTTTCTGGCATTATATGGGTTCCACCTAAGTACAGTGTGTTCACCACTTCATTAGTTTTCATTGCTGCGTGTGGGGTGTTCATGCGTGCGTATGTTTATGCTACAAGTGAAGAGACGTTCCAAAAATTCTATCAATTAGTACGATCGAAATATGTGAACAGCTGTCTCGCACTAGCATAGGATACTTTCAGACGAACAAGACGCGTTACTGAACAGTCTAATGCATTCCCTTTTGTTTCTAAGCCACTCGCAGACCAAGTCAAGTTGAAAATTGTCACCTTTTCTTAGCCCTCGTAAATATGTGGAACCGGATAAGGATTGCATCCATGTAAATTTACGTATTTGAATTCAACTGTACAGCTTTCTGAAATGTCATCTCCAACAAGATATCTTTTCTGAACTTCGTGTTCTTTTCATTCTGATGTGCTAATGGGTATTTTCCACGATCTTTTCTTTTTGGTTGACTTCTCAGAAGCTGAAACTTGCCGATGACAGGTCACTGGATCCAGAAGAGGATGACGTTGAAAGTGACGAGGAGGAAGATGATGAAGATGTTGACGTTGATGAGGACGACGATGAAGAAGATGACAGCGATGACGAGGATGATGATGAGGAGGACGAAGACGATGACGAGGAGGAGGATGATGATGATGAGGAGGAGGGGGACGACGATGAAGATGACGAAGACAGTGATGAAGACCAGGAAGATGATGACACAACCAGGATTGTTGTGGGAGCCAAGAGTGCTGGTCCGAAGAGTGCTCCCCAAAAACTAGCTCCCCAGCAAAAGAATGGGAAATCGACTCCGAGCGTCCCTGCTGCCCCTCCGAAGATGGAGGCTACAGAGACAAAGGCAGAGAGTGGCATGTCAGGATCTGTAATAATAGTGAACGGACCTGATAACTTGGATGGTTTGAGAGAGTTTCTCTCCAAGATAACCCCGTTACCGACATACACAAGATGGAGCCTGCTCCTGTACTGGCTACGGTGGCAAACTTGAACATCCTAAAGAGCCGGCTGCAGTCAGAGAAGTTAACGTTCCAGGGAAAACTGCTCGAGATAATACCTGTGGACCAATCAAGCGATGTTAGAATGACTGAAAACCTGTTTATTACTGGGATCCCTAAATCCACTACTATTGTAAGTTCTGACTTTTCCTAAGTTTCTCTACCATCTACAGGATCAACTAAAAGGTTATCTTCCTGATAACTGTCAGCCTATCGACTTTAGACTGTTAGATAGGAATCCACGTTACAACAGCATGGTTATGGCATTCTCCTCCATCGAAGCCGCCACAAAGGTCTGTGAGCTGCTCCGTTCTTGGAAGCTAGGAGGTCGGTATATGAGAGTTTCCTTTACTGACTGTATAGCACGTAAGCGCACAACTTGTCCATCATGTAACTAACACGTTTTTTTCTAGAAAAAAGTTATGATCTCTACCCAGCAATCGTGGTTCCCAACTTCACTGCTAATCCTGATCGTTTACGCCAGTTATTCCCAACTTCCATCGATGTTCAACTAGATCGTGAGAGAAGGTGAGTAGTAGCGCTGGTTTCTGTTCCTTTCTCGGACCGAATGAGGCCACCCGAGGGTCTCACCATTTGGTGGACTTGTGAATTTCCCATAGTTGATTGGTTTTGCCTTGTTAGGAAGTTAGCTAATTGAATGATTCTTCTGTTTTTCATCCAATCCAGGAAAGCCTATGTCAAGTTCCCCTCACTGGAAGTCAGACAAGCTGCCATCTCAGAACCTAAATTCTTTGATGGCAAAAAGCTGTCAATTGGACTTGTAGGTGGACCAGAGCTAAAAACGGCTGTAATCTTACGTGTACCAGCCAGTGTACAGGATTCGGAACTCGAAAGTCTATTCCCTGGTGTGGTTTCACTGTCACGTCAACCCAGGTCCCCTAAAGACAACTCTCCGTAAGTTCTGTGCTGCTCTTTGCTTTTGTTTGTTACGGTGTGCCTGTTAATTTCTGTTCGAGACTGATTAGGCTTCTTGAATAACAAACAACTTGATCGTCACTTGTCTAGCTCCTTGTAACTAAGTATGCATTTCATTTGTTTCAGAGCCATCATCGCTGAGTTTAAAACAGCTGCTGACTTCTCCAAAGCTCTTTCTTCACCTGTGATTTTGAAGGGACAAAAGCTGCTGATATTCCCCAAAGGTACGTTTGGTGGCAGGTGACCTATCTCCTCACGCCTTTCAATCGGCCAGATTGTTGCCCTTACTGAGTGCTCTTTGAGTCTTGTTGACGTTTTTCGAACAAGTTATAACTCGACATTTTTTCGTTTCAGCCATATTCGTCGATGACGTCCCCCAGAAAAAAATTGAAAGCATCAAATCCACACGACAAGATGGACCCCCTGCTAAAAAGAACAAAGGTTAGTTCCCATTCAGTTCTCTACAGACAGTTGCTAGCTATTTCCCTTGGTAACTATACAATCTTTCTTGTTACTCGTTACAGCTGCCGAGGAGACCGGTGACGAAGACAAGCTAAAACTCAAAGTTAACAAGATTCTGAAGGCGAAAGAAATTGATGATGCTGGTGATGAGGAAGTTGAAGAGGACGATGATGACGAGGATGATGATGAGGGTGACGAAGAAGACAGCGAGGAAGAAGAAGAAGAGGAGGAAGAAGATGACGACGACGACGATGAAGATGAGGACGAGGAGGATGACGACGACGACGATGATGATGAGAGTGAAGAAGACGCTCGCATGACGTCATCCAATGACCAGAAGAATAAGAAACCGCAAAATATGTCCTACAAAAAGCCATTTGGTGATGTCCAGAGGATGAACAATCGCCCTGGAGGTGGGGCTAACTTCAGAGGCAGTCCTAAATTCGGTGGCAACCCAAAGCATAATTCACAACGTGGTCGTGGGGGTCAGTCTTTCCGTGGTCGAGGTGGTCAGTCTTTCCGTGGTCATGGTGGTGGTCAGTCCCCGCGCGGTCGGGGTGGTCAGTCTTTCCGTGGTCGGGGCGGTAATAGAGGAGGCTGGTCCAAACGAGGCAGTCATAACAAAGAAAAATAAACAAATTTCTTGTATATCTGAATTGCAAATAAATTTCCGTAAATGAGTTGCTTTTTTACTTATAGATAGCTTTCAGTTGCTAAACGAGGTTTCCGTTTCAGACCGAAAATATGTCCGTTTCACAAGCATACCAATCCAATCAGGCTACCTCATTGGCTGTATACAATCTACCCTGCTCAGCCAATGAAACGGAGGTCCAGTCGATATTTCCCTCAGCTAAGTCAGTGAGCATCGTACGCAGTCATTCAGTGCCTCCACAGTCGAAAGGGTGAGTCGAAATAGCCGAATATCATGATTCGTTGTTTATGTACTGTATAAAGTCCGCTAAGTCCGAAAGTAACTCGTGTCCGTTTCACTCCGTTTTGCGAGCAGTAGGTTCAGTAAAGTTCGTACCCGTTGTTTTTGTTTGGCAAGTTAACTGTCCAGTGGTGAACCTCGATATTTTAATGATGTTCAGTTAGTACGTTTCTAAGAACTGACTTCGATCTTTTACCTTTCTACCTTTTGTTACTGGTGACATAGGTGTGCCATATTGACCCATTCGTGTAATATGAGCAGGTGGTACCATTTGCAGGGGGAGTGAAATGCGGAAAGGGGGACCCGGACTCTACTGACGGAATAATCTGAGTTATTCGAAAGATCTGTCTACGGGGTCTTATTGTAAAGCTTATTCGCTTCCCATAGAACGACATGCATTTATTACTTACGATCCAATCCGCTCCCTATTTGCTCTCTTTTTCTGTTTCATATATGAAACAGCATGTGCATCTTGCAATTCAACAATGCTCGTGATTGTCAACAAGCCTACGATGAATGTCTTCAAGGCAAGGAAATCGACGGTCAGCTGTTGCATGCAGAATTCAACGGAGGTAAGTCGGTTCTTTCAGTGTTGATAACCATTACAAGTGATTCGGTGATTATTTCGTATGCCCCCTTACTTTTCCAGAACGTCGCTACAGTTCATCAGAAAACTTACACACTAGCCAACAGTACGGAGGACATTCCAGGGATTTCAGACGTCCATACTCAGAGAATGATTACGGTCACCAAACCTATGACAATAATGGGGCTGATGGTGACGGTTCGTCCAGCACTTCTTGTACGCTTACTGTGTCGAATCTCCCATATTCTGCGTCAGAAAGGGATATTATGCGTGAGTTTCCGGAGGCATTACGAGTTGCACTCTCACTCGATGAACAGGGGCGTTCAAGAGGGTAATTCTGTTTTAAGTCTAATTACTTGTAGTGTTGCTCATGTGACATTTTCAAACTCGGAACAGTGCAGCGCTGCTCTCACCTCTTGTGGCAATAAAATGATGGGGGGAAGACCTGTTCGTGGACGTATTCAAAGAGGTAATAGCCTGCTCAGACACATTGTATGTGACGATGTTCATTACAGATCAGGAAAGCACCCAGCAGTCAAGTTATAATAATAATAACAACAACAACCAGAGGTCTTACCACCGTGATCAAAGAGAACATGGTCAGCGTAACCAACGAGATTATAATCAGCGCCACTTCAACAACCGGGACCACAGCAACCAGCGTGAGAATGGCAGTCAAAGAGACAATAACCAACGTGATTACGGCCAACGGGACTTTAGCAACAGACAGGGTAAGTTCAGTAACTCTTACAGTTGGCCGTATTTCCTCGCGATTTTGTGGCACGCTTTGAATCTAATTCTCCTTGTTTGTAGGGAGACAGTTTGACTACAATTCCGGGAGAGGAGAAAGAGATATGAATCGTTTTCAAGGCGGGTCAGGAAACAGAGGCGGACCTCGTGATTTTGGAAGGAATGACAGATTTGATCGGTCGGATCAAAGACGAGATCGCAGTCCAGCTAGGGGAGAACCTGTCCGTGGGTATGGTAGTTCCAAAGGGCCACGGATAACATCAGCTGTGATTCACCGCCCAGGAAATGCCAGCCCCTCGGAGTCCTCCTCTTCCGACGAAGACTGAGCGGCATCCAGTATCCTCTTCGTAAGAATTCCCCCAAGGATGCATCATTTGTGAATTCTTTTACCGACTCGCAAATTGAAGTCTAAACAAGTGAATGCTCGTGGTCTAATGTTGACAATCCATCGGTGTTGTAGTCCAATATAAATTTTCACTTCAGCAGACTTTTCGTGTAGTCGTAACGGGGGTGGTGGGCGATTATTATTCGTTTCCAGCCGTTATAGTAGTTGTGTAGAGGTTGGAGATTCAGACAGCTTGCGATACCGTTATGCCAGTGTTGGGTCCATTCATCAGTAGTGTGTATGAACAACGTTCATGGTCAACGATGGCGTTGGATGTCCTGGTGTGGCATGTGATTCGCATCAAGAAATCGGTTAGTACCTCAAAGTCCCACATATAATGCATATTCTTTCCCGTCCTAGTAAAAATGATCAACATTCTCAGGACCCTGACGAGGTGTCTGGAGTGCGCACAAGGGAAGCGCTGAGAAAGTTCGAAACGACCTATGAAATTGATGACAGTCACTACCACTACCGGAGTCAGTCAGTGAGTGAATAAGGGACAGACTATGATGATGGGGTGAGGTTTTGTTTGACCACAGAGGAGTTGAATAAGCATGGGTCCCGGGAAACTCATCCTGTATAGGCTAGGAAGACCGGTGATCACTAGGTTGGCTCTGTTCTTTGTCATCGCTGAGTTGTCCATGTAGTGTATTTGATGGTGGACGTTAACTATTCCGGTAGAAGCAGGCGAACTGTTTGCTGTCGCTCCATGCGTAGTGTGAAAGGCATGACAAGGGTTTGCGTCACTAAAGCTGCCAGTGTTTTAATTGGTGCATAAGCCCCCTCCAAGCTTAGTTGATCTCACCAGACTTTCGACCTCTCAATTTCCTCATCACTACACTTCTCTTTCACATGTCACGGTCGGTGACTGATTGGTTTCCTGGCCTCCGCAGTCCTGACTGTTAACGTTGTAATTGACGATGAGACCACCCCACGCCATGTGCAGCATTTTACACATTTCTGCGTCGGTAGGACCAAGGCGTAGTCCTTCAGGGAGTAAGATAGCTGTTGGCTATACTTCTCACGTGTTATTTACTTCAAAAGCACACACTGCACTGTACATATCAAAGAGCTGACCTGTATTATCATATCTAGGGTCTTCAGCGCTATTGCCTCAAGATACGCAAATCATTATCGTCGCTATTCATGCCCACCAAGGTCGATCAACCTCTTCAAGACTTGAGAGAATGCTATAGCGGCGGACATTAGGGTATTTCCAGATGATCATAGCTGTACATGGCTGGATCCGAGGTATTGATCGGGTGTGTGGGTCGACACGCTAAATGACTGGTTCACGCATCAGTGTTGAACATCGAACAGACGTGTATTACTTCAAGTCAATCCCCAATAACAAACCTAAATATTTGGGATGTATTACCTAGAAGTGGCACTTGCATTTCTTTCTCTCTCGTCACTAGCTGTTGCCAGTGTTAATTGCAAAGGCTTTTCCTCGGTTTACGTTCAAGTAATCATCACCCTTCGCCAAACACGGAACGTATCACATTCGGTTCTGAAGGGACTGCGACAGACCACTAGGCTCGACTAACGTAATCGTGTTCAACCCAAATTTGCAGTCGATCAGAAGAACTTAGTTTTGGGTAGACTCGCAATAATATTAATTATTGGCGATTCGATTCAAGGATATTTGGTTTCACCGTTAGTACTGCTCATCATGGTGGTTGAAATATATTTCGGAGTGATTCGAATTAGGTACGAAGGTGTATTTGTGTCTCATTTACGGGTTATAAAACTAGTATTGATTATTACTGATAATGGTATTTATTATTGATTTCTGGATTTGTAGTACAGTGGGACAAAAAGCAATCTCGTATTTTGCACTGTTTGGATTCGGATAGGGATGAATTTTCACCTAGAAAAAGAATGTGGAAAATAACAGCGTTAAGAATATATTCGATAGCTTACGGTTAACATTTCTCGATCCGTTTGTCAACTGACCTAGCATACATTCAAGTAAACATTAGGATGAAGTCTAAGCTGTTCGGAGTAATAATAATTATGATAATTCAAAATTGGTAGTGACAGTGAATTTGTCAAACTGTAATTTCACTTTTTCCCGTATAACTGGAATTTGAGGTTATGTGCAAACGTCACCCAAAAATTTTTGTCAAGGAAGTACAAAAATCCAAATTGTGAGTAGTTGTTATACTGAACTGTTGTCAGAATCCTGCGACTTTGCTGATATCAGCGGAAACTAAGCTTCTGTGCACTGTTGTTTTAGGTGGAAAGCAGAAAGAATAAGTAACCAAGCGTACCGCTGGTGGATGTCATAGCAGCAAGGAGTTAGCCACTTGTTACCATCAAAGCTGCTCGAACAGTGGTGGGATAAAAATGTCAGCATGAGAAATTGTACATCATGACTTACCTTCTGACGGTAAAACCTAATTATGGACACAACCTCAAAAACCAATTGAAACAGGCCGTGTGTTTCCGACCAGAAACAGTTTTAACCTAGGTTCTTCGGCCACGCAACACTGTTGCTCCCTTTGTATCGGGCACTGCAAGAAAAAATAACTTCCTCAGTGAAGGCTGCCGGGGAGTAACAAATACACACAGCTTTCCTGATCATCACCCACCTTCATGCTCTTGCTTTCTTCCCATTGCTATTGCTATCCCACAGGTAGGTGCCTCACCTCTTAACTCTGAAACGATAGGCAGCGGCAAGAGCTGGAAGAACACTACTGACAGTCTCTTAAAACCATGCTGACAACTTCCTATTTAAGTATTTAGTGTTTGGACCCTTTGTTAAATCAGCAAACATACTCCACTAACCAGAATCCTGACACCTCAAGACATGGATGTGTGTTGTGTTTCAGAGACACACACACAAGGCCGAAGTGTGGCTACTCACTCTACCCCACATGACTCACATGGTGGATCTTCAAAATTCGTCTGACGAGTGTCAAGAGATTATTCAGCTGGCTCGCAAGGATTTCCGGGTGTAGGGATAGCACTGAGTGCTAGGATGGAATAATCCCTGCTTGACTGCTATCCAGTGGGTAGTCGTATGTGTTCTGTCCGGCTGAACTCATTCAACAGAAGAAGGAGAGATTGTGATACTCGTTGGTGTCGTTTCACCATCTCTACCTAATCTCCAACAGACTTCAGTTCACATGCAGTAGATGATGAGTTCTGTGAAAAGCTGTCTAGTTCGCTGAGAAAAGCAAAACGCTCAGATATAGTTGTCCTAGCAGATTGGAGAGTTGTAGCGGCGAGAAGAGTAGGCTGTCTGGACCTATGGAGTCCTGTGTTGTCGAACCGACAGCAGTGGTCGTGTTCTACAATTCTGTTGAGATAATAATCTGTTCCCGGTCAGCGCTAACTTTAAACGTGAAGAGAGAAATTGTCTAGCCCGTCGAACTCCCTTATTAAATCGATGATGGATTTAAATAGATCACGTAGCGATAAGCAACCGATGGCGAAGGTTGGTAGAAGTCTGTCACAACGTACGGAACACCTGTGTAGTCTCCGACTACTCTCCAGTCGGCGCACGTATGTATATGCCCACCACTGAACAGACATAGAAAACAGGCTGCGATGAAGCCATCACGTATGGAACTTGAATACAATACAAAGTCTTTATTTAAGGAAGAAACAGTTACACGTATACCTGAGTTTGACAGGAAGACTCATTCTGAAGTAATTCTGGATGAATAATATCCAGTCGGTGGTGCAACGGTTAGGATGCTCGCCGACCATGCACATGGTTTGGGGTTCGATCTCCGGCCGACAAACTCCTTTACCTCACTCAGCCAGAAGTAAAGCTGGTGAAGAGGAAAGGTTGGACATGGGCTAGCAACCCCATCCTGTAAAATTAAACACTGCTACAGAAACTTCAAGTCACTAGCTTGAAGCCCTATGTTCCACTGGGAACGTGAAGGAAAAATTATTATTAATATCCAGTCAGCTGCAGAAATGGTGGTAAAGACTGATGGTAGCTGAGTTGGACGATTTTTATTTGGTTGTGTTTCCCGAGCTTGTTGATAAGAGATACAATTATTCCATTCGTGGAGAACCCATACAAGTTCCCTTCATATAGTGGCCTGGGCTAAACATGTTGTTGTTTCGAAGGACAACGGAAGTCTCTCAATTAATCCGACCAGAACACAACCAAACAAAAAAGTGATTAAAACAATTAATAACTTATAGCCGGAGGATAGTGAATCCCAGTGGGTGTCTGCCACTTAATTCGGAGTGACAGACTCAAGGAGACCGATTCCAGTGGACTGTAGGCTTGATGAGGAGTGGAGGTGGTGGTACGCAAGCTCACGAGTCTTCACCACGACGGCGGACGGTGGTGGGCCACAGAAGTTAAAGGAATGAAAAAAGGCAACGGAGGTAGGCATCATCAGGTAACTATTTGGTCTCAGTAGGGAAAATGGTTGTAAAAGACAAATGATAAACTAAACAATCTCCAAGACGAATGGCATTTTTAATTACTTATCAGAATAGAAGATTAGGACATTGGAGGGAGCAATTTAACTCTCTGTTTTGAGCAAGGACGGTTAATGCTACAACAGGCAGTAGGAAGACTTTCATGTGAAACTGATCGAAGTGATAACTAGTTATCTATCTTTGCAGTCATTCACATACTGAGAGTATTACTTTTATCATGTGATCAGACACAGAAGTACAGAGCTACCTACCACTCTCCAATGGATTATTTGCACAGTTTGTTTCCAATGAATCCATGAAAATTAGATAGATAATCTGAATTCCAATAAGGTATCAAAATCTAGTGAAGGCACTATTTGTTCAAAACCAGGAGATATTATCAACTCAAGTGCAGAGATTGTCACTCCAGTTTCTCCTATATCAGGGGAGAAGGAGGAATTCTCACCAGTACCATCTAAGTGCCACGTAGCTGAAAATGCTCCTGCAGATACTTTAAACGTGGCTGGTGAAACCTCTTTTGAAGTTCAACTCATTTCAAGGAATTTTGAAGATTTGTGATATCTTACCAGTCATCATGATTCGGATCTTTTGATTGGACACTAGTAACTAGTGTGACGTTTCTAGTCCTTTCTTTGGCGCAGACTGAATTTTATCAGTACTAATTCAATTGATGAAACTTGCTTTGTTTTGATGCTGTCTGACTATTTTGGATAGTTGGTTTTTTTCCATCACGTGGAACATAGGGCTTCAAGCCAGTGTCTTGAAGTTTCTGTAGCAGTGGTGTTTATTTTTACAGGATGGGGTTACTGACCTCATGCCTAACCTTTCCTCTTTACCAGCATTATTTCTGGCTTAGCGGGGTATAGGAGTGCGTCGGCGGCCGGGGATTGAACCCCGGACCATGTCCATGGTCGGCAAGAGTGCTAACCGCTATCCCACCGATGCATAGTTGGTTACATAGGTTGAACTATTATTGTCAGTAGCGAAGATTCATTCACTTTTTGTAATATCCCAAATGCATTAAATCCTGATGTTTCTCCACGTTACTATTTTGGTTTCCGTACATTTCTGCTCTTTTACTCTTTTCTCTACTGTTGTTTGCTACATGGAAAGTGACAAATTGAATTGAAGTGCCGTAAATGTTTGCAAAGTTTTACGTCGAAACTCAGTCAATCCAAACATAAAGGAACAGTCCCCTGGCATACTAGACCTCTGTGAGTTTTTTGTAACTATCTAGGCCTGTTTTGGTTGACGTCTACAATAACCACCAATGAAACAAGCAGCCCAATAGGTGTGAGACTTAGGGTACACAGCAATCGATCTAGCTTAAAGTGTTAGTGGTGTCCATCTTATTGAATAGTGTTTCACGACTGGTTCTTAAAAAGCAGAAGTTCAAAATTACTGGGTCCCAAACAAACTACCTCTAAGTTCGTTAGGCGGTAAAACGCATCATTTTGCCTACTTTTAAAATCTGGTCAGTGATCAGATCAACCATAAAGGAAGGATAAAGCAGCAAGAAACTCTGGAAACGGACCAACCAAGAACCTTCGGCCCAAACAAATAGGCTGAAGGGAATGGGGATGGGTCGGACACACACTGAAGAGACCGTTCTGTGACATTATAAACCAGTCGGTCGAGTAGAACCTGGATGGGGAACGGGGAGTTCGTCATTCGAGGGTGTCATGCGCGGGAGGGGGGAATCGTGTGAGTAGGAGATGAGAGACTATGGGTAATCGTATAGCCAGCCAACTGAAAACGACTTCAGAGAACAGGATGAAATGGAGAAGTGCTCCCGAAGTCCTTGTTACACTCGGAACCTGACGTAATTATAACAATATAGGTTTCCTTTTATTGACCTATGTTATTATATCTTACAGATTCAATCGATTAATCGGAGAAAAATTTAAAGTGGAATGTTGTGCATACATTTCGTGCTGGTAGAACTCACCTAACTGTCTTATCTATTGTTCAAACATTTTCTTGACTATTACTTGGTTGATCCAGTTGTCCCTGTTTATTAGTTGACCTGAGAGCATGACTATTTTGTTCCTGAGATTTCTGTGATAACTGTCGACTGTCATTTGTGCATATTTCGTTGTTTCGATTAACATTGTTGTTGTTGTTGTCGTCACTGCTGGTGATTAAAGTGTTGAGATCAGTGATGGTTGATTGTTCTTCGTATGTGACGCTATTATTTTCAGTGTAGTGCTGGTTGGATACAGGGATATTTATTGATTGTTTATTTCTTATAGAACCACCATTAGCTGAAATCGCTTTAGCAACAGCCTCAGCTTCAGTTTGTAGACGACTGATTCTATGACACAGCATAGCCAGGCTAATATCTGCAGGTTCTGAAAAGTCTTGTGTTTCAGCCAGTATATTCTCGGGACTAATCATGAAATTGGATTCTTTATTGTGGACCACTAGAATGTGAAAAGAAGACAGAAAAACAACACAATATCGTACACGGATACACACACGCACAATTGTGAGAATAAATAATAATAGGACTATAAATTCAATGAAACAAACGCATGTTTATTAATTCACTGAAGTATGCTCATCCCGTTGTGAGTGTTCACAGGTCAGGAGGTAGAGCACAAATAGACATCGTAGCTCACTGTCTGTAAGATAAATACTTGAATCATGCACAGATTGTGAATGTTTTTGACTGAAATGGATAGAGAAAATAGCCTAAAGAACTGGGACAGGGCTTCAGTAGGTCCGAATTACATCCTGTTCTCTGCAGTCCTCTTAAGACGACTTCACGGTGGTCTATAAGCTCTCACCTCCTCGTCACATGATCTCTATGTCACTCTCAGGTGCCCAACTGGCCGTTCCCCGTTCGAGTTCCACTCGAGAGCCTGGCACCCGATGTCACCCGACGATCTTCTCAGAGCGTGTTCAGTCAGTTTCCATTTCCTTTGGAATATTTGTTAAGCAATAGCTTCTTGGTTAGTTCGAGTTCGTCCTCGGAGTTTCTTCTTGCTAATTCTTTCTGGTCATCTCATCCTCGGAATGCAGCTCAGCTCTCTGATGAAAGTCTGAAGCCTGTTAGAAATGGTTTTGTTGATGTTTGTGTGTGTGTGTGTGTGTCGAGTTTCTGAAGCACATAAAAGAACTGGCTGACTTGACATTAGTGTTGAATATCCGAATTGTGTTCCTTATGCTGACTGGATGCTGCAGTAGATTTCCACTCTGATTTCAGATTAACGAAGGTACGTTTTGCTTTTCCTATTGTGGCTTAGACATCTTCATCCGTTCCGCTTGTGTAGTTGAAAGGATGCTGTCTGTATAAGGGAATGAAGAGACTTCCTTCAAATTTCTCCTCTTCATAATGACTAGCGCTTGTTGTTGTTGTTGTTGTTGGTGGTAGTCAGTATCTTCACCATCTCTGTCCTGTCTATGTTCACTTGAAATCCTGTCTTCTCTGCCTGACACTTCTGTCGATTTGTTGCTTTTCACCTGTGTATCTTTGAGCTTTTGTGACACTAAACATAAATTGCCCATGAAGTTTAAATATTCTCGAGCCTTCTTGTTGGTTCGACGTATTCCTATTCCTGTCACCTCGCTCCCCATAGTAAACGGGAAGGTCAAGTCTGCCACAAGTGGTAATATTGCCGGTGATAGCAGACAGGCAGGTTTGTGTTACTGCTGTCTTCACCTCAAAGGCTTCTCTGAGTTTGCTGTCGTGGATCTCCTGATATGTGGCATTGTCGTATAGCCAGCTATTGAATGAGGTTGATAAAGATTTCGGGTACGTGTCGGTCAACGCCCTCTGGTGAAACCCTTTTCGATTGCCATTCTATGCTCCGCTCGAAGGTGATGTGGAGATTCGCACTTCAATGAGCCTCACATGATTTACCTTTGCCGAATCCACCTTGTTTCGGGCTGGTGAAGTTCTGCATCCAGTGCAACTTTTATTTTCTGTAGGATGATAGGACTTAGTATTTGACTTGCCGTGAATGGACAAGAGCATGATTCCACGACAGTTCTTGCGGACAGAGGCTTATGTCACTCTTCTTTACAAGCTTCACGATGTAGCCTGCCTTTCTTCCAACCAGTAGGTGCCTTTCCTTCCTTCCAAACCTTTTGCAATAATGGCGTGAGAACATCTGCCGAAGTCTCTCAGTCCGTTCCCAGAGCTTCTCAGTGGCGAAATTCCGTCCGGACCTGCTGCCTTCCCAACCAACCTTCAGTAGCTTGATCGAATTCAGGATTTCTGATTTCGTTCGTTGGGGGATTGGTGTCCACTCGCTGACAGTTCTGTACACGCTGTTGCTAGTGGTGGTGGTATTTCTGAGTGAGTCGCGGGTGATGGTCGATACAAGAGTCCTTTGAAGTGATCATCCCAGTGTCCTATTTGTTTCTCCGCCTTGGTAATCAGGTCCCGTTGAACACATTTTATTGGTTCCATCATCTGGGTTGATATCTTCCCGGATAGCGAGCAGCCTGGTTATCTGATGTAATGTTCTGAGGTCTCTTCTACATGCAGCTGCCTGTTATGTCTCAGTTGACAGCCGGTGTGTCGTCTTTTGTGTGTGTCTTTTGTCTCTTCTAGCACCCCTCATCACTTCTTTCCTTATTCAGTGCAGTGTACATTGCTGTGAACTCAGCCTCTCCTTCTCTTCTCTTGTCCATATTTGCATCGACTCATCTTCTCTTTCACCGTACGCCCTCCTCTTCTCTCCTCACTTCTATCAGCTTCCAGGTAGGTGGCCGTTGTCAACCATTCCTTGTCTTATGTCTCTTCTTCCTTCTCCCTAGAACAGTTGTACACGTCTCCTTGGACATCACCTGCACAGAGTTAGTTCCAATGTTCCTCACCTCACACAGGTTGACTCAGCGAGGCCACGTAGTGTCTCCAACATTGCTCTGATCTCATCTGTAGTGAAAGTAGGTATCGCTTGTAGTTTTGTACTTCACTTTCTGAATGTTGAACTTGAGTTACAGTGATCTATCTCCAGTTGTTCTGAGGGATTTTGGCTTCAACTTGAAGGTTCCTCGAACTAGATGATGATGGTGATGATGATAATTGTCTGAATCCACATATACTCCCCTTCTTGACTTTGTGTTAATCATACTGCCTCGCCACTTCCTTGACCAACACTGAAATGAAATCTATCTGGTTTGTGGTGTGTCTGTGTCAGGGGAAATCTTCGCTATTGAGGATTTTGTCACTTTGCACTCATAGACGTTTTTCTACCAAAAATGAGTGATGGCACAATCGAAATCTTTGTGTTGGTACACGCCTCCTCCGACTACCAGATCACTGAATGCGTAGAAGTTTGCGAATAGTTTTCCGTTCACATTAATTTATCCGGGCGAGAGCTTCTCCACGCATGGTGAGTTCTCTTCCTGTGTTATCCGCTCCCAGTTCGGCTTGTATTCATATTGCTCTCATGAGGATTTTGATGTCACCATTTGGCATTTGTCCATAACTGTTTTTAGTTGTCTGCAAAAGTCTTTTTTCTTTTGTTGTTCTTGCATTGGATGTATTATATCTTATATGTTATTAAAGGAGACATATTGCCGGTATTGGTGTAGCTTAATTGCTATTGTAAGTGTCTGGTTTAGGTTCGATGAACGTAAATTCCCTGATCAACCTCTCACGCCGTTTATATACGTTACGTTTTAGAAATAAAGCTTTGTCGCATCCTATGGTGTGATTGCGTGTTAGTGCATGCATTGAAACTTCCGAGTTTTTCTCTAAACCATTCATCTTACTAGGGTCAGTTATTCTACCATAAGCTAATCTGCCCCTTTGTGTCAATATCACTGACAATACTGTGCCAATTAACACGAGAGGTATAAGATAAACACCACCTATGGTCAAAGATAAGCAGCCTCTTCATATCGTCCACTTTCAACAACGACATCTTACGGTCGTAGAGAAAGATAAAGGAAATGGCTGTGAAGTGGACACATCTTTTGATAGATAGCTGTATATATATATATATATATATATATATATATATATATATATATACCAGAGATGAGGTAATATGGCAAACAGCATACTAGCCTTTTTGTGGTTTGAAAAGAATTGTTCTTAATCTGGTTTTATAATGGATATAAAAAAACCGGTTTCTAGTTAAAGTGATAACTTTAAAAAAGGAGGCTTATATATAGAAGTAAACCATTTCATATCATAATTCAAACATTTCTAAAGCTTATGGAAAAAGTAGTACTTCTTAAACTCGAAACCTTTCTTAAAAGCTTTTAAGACTCCAAACAATTTTCCTACAGACAAGGTAGGACCCTGCAGCCGTCTTACATAACAGTATCGTCTCACTATTAGATAAAGGTGCCAAATACGTCCGCTGCACGTTTCTCGACTTCACTTCTGCTTTTGACTCTGTACCTAGTTGTCTCTTGCTAAATAAGCTTTCGATGACACAAGCTGAGTCCCGGGTCACTAACTGGTTGCATTCCTACTTCTCAAACAGAATGCAGTACACTGTATACAAAGGTAAATCCTCCTCTGCTGTGCTCACTGAAGCTGGTGTCCCCCAAGGTGCTGTACTCTCCCCAATTCTCTTTTCTTTCTTTCTTTCTCTCTGCATGGCTTACCACCTCCAAATGACATTAATTTTGTTGAATATGCTGACGACCTGACTGTATCTTGCCCGTCAAATGTCAAAGTGACTGCTTCAAAATAAATAGCTTTTTATCATAAATCAGCCAGTGGTCCAAGGAAAACGGTCTAACCTTAAATCCCTCTAAATGTCAAACAGTCAATTTCACCTTTAGGCATAAATCTGACCTAATCGAACTGGTGGTTAGCACTCACGAGGGGTGCAACATACATGGCACTGAAATACAAACCAAGTCAGAAATTAAATACCCAGGCGTCATTCTATCTGCTGATCTTTCCTGGTCGTCTCATATCTTGATGATTTCTAAGAAAATATTCCGCCTTACCTTCTACATCAAGAAGTTAAGACATTCTGGAATAACCCAACTCAACCCTTACTCCTAAGATTCGTTACCTCTTGCATCCTACCTATTATTCTCTATTGTTCCCCCTTAGTAATTCCAGGACTACTGAAGAAAGACTATGTCTTATTACGCAGGATGTTAAAGGTTGTCAGCAGGGTGAGGTACGTGCCACTTAACCAGCTTGTTAATATTCTGGTCGGCAGGCAAATGGACTCATGAAAAATAGGCTAAATCCATTCTGTTCATCTAACTCACACCACCCTCTTTATTCACAACTCTCCCCTTGCATCTCATCAGGCTAAAGCAGAAGCCGATATAGAAAACTATATGCTCGCACTAACTGGGATTACCCATAATCTCTGTAGAATTTTATTTATTGTTAATGTACTAACTGGATGCAATACTGCAGTGAAATGCTGAGAATTAGATATGATAGAGAAGATTTGTAGCTCAGGTGGATGATTTTGATGTGGTTTTGTTCTCTGAGCTGGATGGTTAATTTGCGAAGCTTTCATCACCCTACTGGGTGACATCTTCAGCGCATACTTCAATTTGAAGTGAGCTTTTAGATTACTCCATGAGTTTATTAATCATCTCTCCTGGTGACCCTGGACATGATTGATTGTTTATGTGTGCTTTTACATCTTCTAGGTTACTTGTATTGGAACTAACTGTTTCTTTGACTTGAACTTTGGCCCTTTGTGTGTGAACCTACCAAAGCAAAAGTCACCAAGGAAAACACAAAGAAAATCGCCTTACCATACATAAAGCATATCTCAGAAATCACTACAAGACTCTTCAAATCTTTAGGAATTGACATCGTACACAAACCAACAAAGTCGCTTCACTCAATTCTATGTCAACCAAAAGACTCGACAGCGAAAGAAGATAAAATCAACATCATCTACAAAATAAATTGCAACAACTGCGAAAAACACTACATTGGCCAAAGTGGACGTCCCCTTCGTCTTCGTATCCACGAACATAAGTTAGCCGTCAAAAGAAACGATATCCACTCCCTCATATCACTACACACAGACAACCACGGACATCAATTCGACTGGGACCACGTTCAAATATTAGACAGAGGAAACAACAAGAATGCTAGAGAATTTTTAGAAGCTTGGCATTCCAGTGAATCATCAATCAATAGACACATAGAGATAGACAAAATTTATCAACCAATAAGACAGAAACTTCACACACAAAGGCCAAAGTTCAAGTCAAAGAAACAGTTAGTTCCAATACAAGTAACCTAGAAGATGTAAAAGCACACATAAACAACCAATCATGTCCAAGGTCACCAGGAGAGATGATTAATAAACTCATGGAGAAATCTAAAAGCTCACTTCAAATTGAAGTATGCGCTGAAGATGTCACCCAGTAGGGTGATGAAAGCTTCGCAAATTAACCATCCAGCTCAGAGAACAAAATCACATCAAAATGCTGAGAATTCCATTCTCTACCACAAGTACTGTTTGGAATAAAGTAAATTATTATTATTATTATTCGGAAGATATTCTCTGGTGAAGTTAAATGTTAAAGTAAGATTTCTGCATAATTGTGGATACCGCTACTGAGATCCTGAAGAGCCGCTGCTCATCCAGATCACTGTAAAATGTCCTCTTTGCTGCTGAGCTACGAACCATTCCCTACAGTAGCAAAGTGATCGATGGGTGTGTGAAGGATAAACTGCCGCTTTGGACGGGCCCTTCGCTATATATATATATATATATATATATATATATATATATATAAATTCACCTGCTCGTGTGGAGTTAGATGTATTGGCAGCGCAAACTACACACTTTCAAAATGCATCTCTGAACATTATCTCGCATGGTTAGCAAGAAAGCTAATGCAAGACAGTTACTAGCTTAATTCTTGATAAGCACTTGCTCAAACTCAAATCATATAGCTCCATCAGAGTCGTCTTTCAAGATTACCTACAATGTGGGGCCAAATGGTACAAAGTGCTTCAGGTTTCGGCTTTTGTGTATGGCGGAGGTGTTGGTCACCAGAACAGTGAACTCTGTATACAGAAAACTTTTATCCAGTTTCCTATTCTACCATGGTCTTAACTTCTTCACTAGTTGTTTCCTGTAAAAATTTTATTTTTTATTTTTCAATTTTACTTTCAGTTGACGTCTACTTTAATAATAAATTCACTGTTATCACTCGCATATTTGAATTTTGTACACTTTCACACCTTCTTCACACTTGTTAAATGGACATTCAACTGCCTTTCTTCTCACTCAATAAAAATTTTAAGCCTTATCAAAAATTTCTAACCCTTTCTTCCTTTGTGCTGTTGTTGAGTATTACGTGGTTTACAACTTTTGTCTTTACTTCTAAATCCACTTCTGAGTAACTGTATACTTTTATATATTGTTTACTGATTATTATATCCTTTAATTCCTAGAGGAACATACGGCTTCAGCTAAGCGTCTTCATTACGTTCGGTTATCGGTTAGAGTTTTCACCTGGCTCCCAGTCTGCCCACATACTTTCATGTCCTCTTTACATGACCTCCTCCAAGTCACCCTTGCACTGACGACCAACTCGCCGCCCGCTTCCCTTTCGGGTTCCACTTGAGCAATAGCTTCTCTAGTGATGTCACTTGATGGTTTCCTCAGAGTATGGCCAGCCAATCCACCTCAATTTCTTCCTGCCTATTTGTTGCACAGTCGGTTCCTGCTGGATTCGTTCGCTCATTGACAGAGATCCCCGCTGCTGACCGTTTCTAACCATCTGATCTTGAGTAGTATTGAGCGAAGACAGCTCCTGATGAAGGTCTGTAGTTTGTTCGAAGTGCCCTCCTTCATGACGCACACTGCAAGTCTCTGGTCCGTATAGTAAATACCACTGACTTCACATCGGAGTTGAAAATCCGGATGTTATTACATTCATGGTGAATGCTGTTGACCTACACACAGACTTGAGAGAAATGAAAGCTTGTCTTGCTTTCCCGATCCTTGCTTTGATATCTTCGTCAGTTCCACCCGCCTGTAGTTGAAACGATGCTTCCCATGTAGGTAGGCAGGTAGGTAAAGGAGGTTGTTTCTTTCAGGTTCCTCCCATTTATGCTGGCTGATTGTTGTCGTTGCTGTTGTTGGTGGTGTTGGCCAGGAATCTTCATCACCACATCTGTTTTCTCTATCTTCCTCCAAGTCCTATCTTTTCTGGATGCTTCTTCTGCCAACTTATTGCTTCCCAGTTTGTGGGAAATCAGAAATATATCATCGGCGAAGTCCAGATTCTCCAGGTTCTTTTTTTGTATGGGTCCATTTTATGCCTGTTTCCTTGTTGCCCGCCATCTGTCTATCGCATTATCCAATCTACTGCAATCAAGAAAATCGTTGAAGATAATAGTCAGCCGGCCAGCTTGTCTTACTCTCATCTTCACTTCGAAGGATTCCGTAAGTTTCCCGTCGTGGATTACTTGGCATGCAGCATTGTCGTACAACTGTTGGATGCGATGTATAATTGTCGATGGCACCCCGTAGTAGCGAAGTAGTTGCCAAATTACCTCTCGATCGACATTGCGCTATTGAAGGCCTCTTCAAAGTCGATGAAGTTGAGATAGAGAGGTGACTGACTGCCATTCCAAGCTTTGTTCAATGATGATCCGTAGTGTGGCGATTTGATCAATACATGACTTGTTTCTCCTTTTGGTAGATATAAATACAACTGTACAGTACAGCCATTGAAGATGATTTCGTCCGTAAAGAAACTTCTCTTTGCTGAATTCTCTTTATATATTTTTTTCAATTACATTATTAAGGAAGAAAAGAAAGCTTCCCATCATACAAACATTAAATATTATCTAACTCATAATTTACTTACATTCAACAAATGGATACTGTGCAGCAGTGGATTCCTGAGACTCAGTATTAATCTCACCTAAATGAGGCGGTGGAAGATTTAAGCCTGAATGGCTTGTTGTAGCTCCGTCTGTATTCACTGAGTCTAAATCATCAAGCCTAATAAATGAAACGATGACAAATTAAAATCAAACACAAGATATAAGTAATGCATTAATATTGTAATGTTTAGTGATAGAAATCATCGACACATCGGAGACAGATAATTTCAGAATACAACCTGGCATTATCTTAAGTACTGGTTTAAATTCAGCGAGTATCAAGTAATTCAACCTCGCCTAGTTAACTGGCTTACTAGTTTTCTAGGCGGTACCAAGCCCGGTTAAAGAGGGACGGCTAGGTGAAGGTGAGGCTAGCGACTCCCCACCACTAAACCTATCGAACCGCTAGGGAAACATCAACGCTTAGAAAAAATATACTGAAAATACAAAAACTTCAGATAACAATAATCATATTCTTCCCTGGAATCGGCGAAGAGAAATGACACAGTAGACTCATGAAAGCCGTTGGAGAGCCAGTCAGCCAAAATGTCTTCTCTCTCTCTCGATGAGAGTAAGAATAAGAATGGCGACGTGAAAATCTCGTACAACGTACGACGCTGGCTGGGAAAGCTGCCTAGGTAGCCAGAGAAATGCGAAGATATGGCAAAGAAGTGCTGAGAATGTATGACAGCACATGGGATGGATGCGAATTATCAAAAGTGTCAACTGAAGATTCAGTAATCTACTCCGGTGTGGACACTCAGACGACAACCGCTAGCACGCTGAAACAGTAAGTGGCTACCATGATGTTGCCAGTGGCAGCCAGAGCCCTAGTGCAGTGGGAACCATTATCATCCAGCATCATGACAGCAAGATTCATTTCCGAAGGAAGGTCACAATTATCCAATGTTACGAACAGTGCCACAAACAACGTGGAACAAGACGAGAAGGAAGACTTTTGCAGACATCTAAAAACAGTTATGGACAACATGCCAAATGGTGACATCAAAATCCTCATGAGAGCAATATGAATGCAAGCCGAACTGGGAGCGGATAACACAGGAAGAGAACTCACCATGCGTGGAGAAGCTCTCGCCCGGATAAATTAATGTGAACGGAAAACTATTCGCAAACTTCTACGCATTCAGTGATCTGGTAGTCGGAGGAGGCGTGTACCAACACAAAGATTTCGATTGTGCCATCATTCATTTTTGGTAGAAAAACGTCTATGAGTGCAAAGTGACAAAATCCTCAATAGCGAAGATTTCCCCTGACACAGACACACCACAAACCAGATAGATTTCATTTCAGTGTTGGTCAAGGAAGTGGCGAGGCAGTATGATTAACACAAAGTCAAGAAGGGGAGTATATGTGGATTCAGACAATTATCATCATCACCATCATCATCTAGTTCGAGGAACCTTCAAGCTTGAAGCCAAAATCCCTCAGAACAACTGGAGATAGATCACTGTAACTCAAGTTCAACATTCAGAAAGTGAAGTACAAAACTACAAGCGATACCTACTTTCACTACAGATGAGATCAGAGCAATGTTGGAGACACTACGTGGCCTCGCTGAGTCAACCTGTGTGAGGTGAGGAACATTGGAACTAACTCTGTGCAGGTGATGTCCAAGGAGACGTGTACAACTGTTCTAGGGAGAAGGAAGAAGAGACATAAGACAAGGAATGGTTGACAACGGCCACCTACCTGGAAGCTGATAGAAGTGAGGAGAGAAGAGGAGGGCGTACGGTGAAAGAGAAGATGAGTCGATGCAAATATGGACAAGAGAAGAGAAGGAGAGGCTGAGTTCACAGCAATGTACACTGCACTGAATAAGGAAAGAAGTGATGAGGGGTGCTAGAAGAGACAAAAGACACACACAAAAGACGACACACCGGCTGTCAACTGAGACATAACAGGCAGCTGCATGTAGAAGAGACCTCAGAACATTACATCAGATAACCAGGCTGCTCGCTATCCGGGAAGATATCAACCCAGATGATGGAACCAATAAAATGTGTTCAACGGGACCTGATTACCAAGGCGGAGAAACAAATAGGACACTGGGATGATCACTTCAAAGGACTCTTGTATCGACCATCACCCGCGACTCACTCAGAAATACCACCACCACTAGCAACAGCGTGTACAGAACTGTCAGCGAGTGGACACCAATCCCCCAACGAACGAAATCAGAAATCCTGAATTCGATCAAGCTACTGAAGGTTGGTTGGGAAGGCAGCAGGTCCGGACGAAATTTCGCCACTGAGAAGCTCTGGGAACGGACTGAGAGACTTCGGCAGATGTTCTCACGCCATTATTGCAAAAGGTTTGGAAGGAAGGAAAGGCACCTACTGGTTGGAAGAAAGGCAGGCTACTTCGTCAAGCTAATAAAGAAGGGCGACTTAATCCTCTGTCCGCAAGAACTGTCGTGGAATCATGCTCTTGTCCACGCACACCAAGTAAAATACTCAGTTGTATCATCGTGTAACGCATGCATGCATGCCTTCCACCTATCACCTTCCTCGTCAACGCGCAATGTTACCTGACATAAGATAGATTATGTTGGAAAAGAGCTAACCAGTGGTGATCAAATGAAAACATGGCCTCATCAGTCAATAAGGTCCACAGCAGTTAGTTCAAGCCATCCACGCAGGGAGGTGTAAACTTCGTGACTGGTTTGGGTCCTCAGGATTGTAAGAACCTACGAAGCATGGCGTCGGTGGCACAGTGGTTAGGACTCTCGCCGACCATGCACATGGTCAGGGGTTCGAGCCCGCACTGACGCACACCTGATATCTATGGTCGGCCTGCAAAATTTGGGCTACCGATATCCATGCTGAAAATTCCATACTTGTACCGAAAATACAATGTGGAATCAAGCTGTAAATCAAAAAAAAAAAAAAATGATATGACTCGAAATTCTTGTCAATGACTGGCGCAGATGCATTCACTAATTTTGATTTTCATTATCCAATAAAATGCTGTTGTTTTTCCATAACACTATTATATTTACTCACTCACACCTTTGTTTCTTATGTCTCACATTTTTGAAACTTTCTTTACTCTCTTCTCTTCCGTGTGTGCTAAGTGGAGGGAGTGTCTGTTTTCGACATAGAATTTCGCACCGATGTGCACCAGTTCAAGTCACCACACTCTCTCCTTGTAGCACACACACGGAACAATAGAAGAAATGCATAATAGAGACAGTAAACATAGGTGTGAGCCAAAGGAATAGTAATAAGAAAGAACAATATGGTTTCATAAGTTATGAAAATAACCAACCAACAACAGCCAATGTCAGTCACCATCAACGGGAGGGATTTGAAAGAGGTCACTTCATTCACTTATCTAGGGAGCATTGTCTCAACTACAGCCAGTAGGAACGGATGAGGATGTCAAATCGAGGAGGGGGGCGAGAAACACATTCATCAACCTGAAACAACCAATCTGGAAATCTTCGTCACTCAGCCTCAACAACAAAATTCATTCGGATCTTCTATACAAACGTCAAGTCAGTCAGTTCTTCTATACGGATGAGAGACCTGGCGGGTGGGTGACAAAGAATATCTCCAACAGGCTATTGCAGACCTTTATCAACAACTAACTGTCTTCGCTGGCTCTATACTGAAGATCAGATGGCCGGAAAGAATCACCAACAAGGAATTATGGGAACAAACAAACAAAACAAGAACCAATAGCCAACCAACAAATATGCAGGAGAAAGTGGAGATGGATCGGACACTCGCTGAGGAGACCGCCGGGTGACATCGCGCACCAAGCCCTCGAGTGGAACCCGAAAGGGAAGCGGCGTGTGGGACGTCCAAGGGTGACATGGAGGAGATCGTGTGAAGAGGAGTTGAAAGAATATGGATTAACATGGATTCAGGCGAAAAGTACAGCAGAAGGAAGACAGAAGTGGCAAGTGGAGACGTGCAGTTGAAGCCCTATGTTCCACTAGGAACCCAAGGCAGCAATAATAATAATAAATAATATGGTTTCATTGGTTATTATAAGTCACAAGGAATGGAATTTTAATTTTTTTTAATTTTTGATTTACAGCTTGATTCCACACTGTATTTTTGGTACAAGTATGGAATTTTCAGCATGGATATCGGTAGCCCAAATTTTGCAGGCCGACCATAGATATCAGGTGTGCGCCGGCGTAGGCTCGAACCCCGGACCATGTGGATGGTCGGCGAGAGTCCTAACCACTGTGCCACCGATGCATCGCTGCTAGCCATTGAGAACTATCACTTGCAGCTATATCACCAATTGCCTCTAGCCTCCATTGGTTTTTATCGTCCTGAGGACCCCACCCAGTCAGGAAGTCTACATCTTCCTACGTGGCTGGCTTAGACTAACGGTTGTGGATTTCTTTATCGACTGATGAAGCCATGTTTTGGTTTAATCGCCGCTGGCTCTTTTCTAGCCTGACCCTATATCAGCAAACATTGCCCGTCCAAAAAGGGTGTGTGTGTGGTAACTCGAACTGCTGCATATCTGTGCTAAGTTCTAAGTTGAAACTAGTCAGTCAGTCTAATCACTTATTTGATTCACAAAATACTATGCATAATCTGTGATAATAAAGCTGTACGACTGACTAATGAATGATATTCCTAATTATGGTGGACTGACTGGATTATGCGTCAGACAGTGTGTGGGAGACGAGAAGAGAGGGATATCCTGGACCGACAGACGTGAAGAACCTAGAAGACCTGGATTTCGCGAGTGGATGATTTACGTTTGATGTCACACACACAAAATCGAAGAATTGCAGGTGAAAACCGACAAACTGGTCGAAGAAGCAGCCAGCGAAGACAGGACTCCAGGTGAACATACACAAGACGGAGGTTATGAAAATAACTAACCAACCAACAACAACTACGACGACAGCAGGAACATCCAGCGCCAACCACTATCAACAGGAGGGATTTGAAAGAGGTCACTTCATTCACTTATCTAGGGAGCATTGTCTCAACTACAGCCAGTAGGGACGGATGAGGATGTCAAATCGAGCGAGAATCGAGGAGGGGGGCGAGAAACACATTCATCAACCTGAAACAACCAATCTGGAAATCTTCGTCTCTCAGCCTCAACAACAAAATTCATTCGGATCTTCTATACAAACGTCAAGTCAGTCAGTTCTTCTATACGGATGAGAGACCTGGCGGGTGGGTGACAAAGAATATCTCCAACAGGCTATTGCAGACCTTTATCAACAACTAACTGTCTTCTCTGGCTCTATACTGGAGATCAGAGGGCTGGATGGGAAAGAATCACCAACAAGAAACTATGGGAACAAACAAACAAAACAAGAATCAATCGCCAACCAACAAATATGCAGGAGAAAGTGGAGATGGATAGAGATGGACACTCGCTGAGGAGGCCGCCGCTGGGTGACATCGCGTGTGCGTCAAGCCATTGCTCGAGTGGAACCAGGCCGAAAGGGAAGCCAGCGGCGAGTAGGATTTAAGTGCAAGGGTGACATGAAGGAGATCCTGTGAAGAGTTGAGGGGTTGAGATAGTATGGACTAACATGGATTCAGGTGAAAAGTACAGCAGAAGGAAGACAGAAGTGGCAAGTGGAGACGTGCAGTTGAAGCCCTATGTTCCACTAGGAACCCAAGTGAACAATAATAATAATACTGACTCACTTCGAATGAGAATTCGATAGTTTCTCTTGACTTTGAAGCATATTGTCTGAAGAATTGCAGCTATTATGCATAATTGGTCCATGATTTGATTTCACAAATTTACCAGATTCTAAGGCATCATGAATACGTTTCGCTTTGAAACAGAGTCTATTGCACATTGTACGAGGATTGATTTCATCTGATGGTTTTGAGTGTTTACGTGTTGCATTGCCTATTGTAGATGAACTGGATTTATTATTATTATTATTAACACTTGATTCGTTCATTTTTGTGCTAGATACCGTGGATAGTGAACGTGGTGAGACAGATAAAAGTTTAGATTGATTAAGTGTTCTATTGTCAAGATTAGACAATAACGAAGAACTGGTTGGTTTGCAGTGGTTATCAGTGATAGTATTAGTGTTAATAGTAGCAGAAGCACCACTATTCATGTTGGTTGTATTAGTAAGATTTGTATCCTCCCACAAACGACGATTACTCAACACATGTTCACCTATGTCACGATCACCTACAGTGAATAAGGAAGATATATGAATTTTTTTTTAAAGGTGAATTTACACAACACTATTTATATTATATGAAAATAATAATTGTGACTTTACGGAAATCAGACTAATTTCACACCAAACTACAATAACATCGACTCCTCCTGCTGAAAGTTAATCTGCAGTATATCAGTTTACTATAACATTCTGCGTCGGTGGCACAGTGGTTAGAACGCTTACCGACCATGCACATGGTCCGGGTTTCGATCACCGGCCGCCGACGCACTCCTTTACCTCACTAAGCCAGAAATAATCCTAGTAAAGAGGAAAGGTTGGGCATGAGGTTAGCAACCCCATCCTGTTAAAAATAAACACCACTGCTACAGAAACTTCAAGACACTAGCTTGAAGCCGTATATTCCACTGGGAACGTGAAGGAAAAATTATTATTGTTATAACATTCTGAACAAATAACTCACCACTGGTTCATTATAACCGACTACTCGTAGATCCAGAAACAAAACAGACTGTGGGATGAATCATGTCAAGTGTTAAAGCATTTAACCACTGCTAGTAGTGACAATGGATTCTGACCTTTTTATGTCTTGAAATACTTTTACTTCCCACTTAAATGCAGTAATCCTGCAGAGCAGAGGCGGTGCTTATACAACCAGAATACCACCAATGGACGATAGCACTGCTACCCTGACATTATGGTCAAAATTGCATATCTCAATGACCCAACAAGCTAGGCAGGCTAGAATCAATGTTCTTGCGTGAAACATCGTTTTCATCGCACGGTTAGACTGAAATCAGTTCCCACCGCACTGTAAATTGTTGATTTACATTATGTTTGGGGTCTATGAGTGAAGTTGTACCGTTGACGAGTAGGGATATTATAACATAAGTGTAAGGTGTTTCACCTCAGATGACCAGCAAGTCAGTTATCCTACTTCGCAACTCTGAGGACGATGGTTTGGTTAGAAAAAGGTCGACCTTTGAAATTCTAAATTCGCAATTTACCTTATGGTTGTGGAATCTCAATACGAACACAACTCGAAAAACCACTTCAAACAGGTATTGTGTGATCTGTCTCACACAACTTTCCGCTGTGGTCTGCAATCACCCAAAGCTAATAATCTCTCTTTTTCAGTTACTCTGAGAGGCGATATCCTCCCAAAAAACTCTCACAAGGCCTTCCTGCTCACCACCAACCTTCATCTTCATAAAACTGAAACTGATCGCCGACAGATGATATTGACTGGGTTTGCATTAGATCAGTTAGTCGATTGCCAACTAACACCAAACATAGGTCAACCAAGGCTACCTGTGGCCGATTGCCTCCAACCATCTAATATCATCAAGTCGATGTGCATCATGATGGCGAGCCACCCAGAATGGTGGCCACATTGCAAACCTGACTGATAGAATTCAGTCTGCACCAAAGAAACTACTAGACACATCACACTAGTTACTAGTCTCCAATCAAATTATTCACTACAGTCAGTCGCACAGAGAAGGTCAATAGCGAACCCGAACAGCCCAGTTGTAACATCTCTGACTGCAGCACTGGGTGACGCGGGTTCGAATCTCAGAAGGGACATGAGTGTTACTTCAAAGGTTGCAGATACGCCTTGTTGACGACTGGTGAGTGGCAACTAGCACAAAACCTAGGTCGACCAAGACTTCCAGTGGTCGACTGCCTCCAACCATCTAATATCATCAGATCGATTAGTCAGTTAAAAAATGGACTTTTTCCTCAGTTATTTGCCTTATATTCGCGTAAAAACTGGAATAATTTCCGGGTAGCAAGCGTCTCACAGCTTAGATACATCAAAAATATCTAATTTCAAACAAGAATGTTAACTTTTAGCAAATGTGTAAAAAGGCATTTCATATATATGTATAATTCACCTGTCATTGTCTCCTCATCAATATCATTTTCTAAACTTTGCGCTGCATTTTTCATGTTTTGTGTTGATGGTGTTGCCAACGGTTCCACTGTATCTTTGACTGATGAGAAGTGATTTGAACATTTCAACGCTGGTACCAATGCCGGTGGTGCTATGGTCGTCTTAGTTGTTGGCATAATTGATGACCCATCAGAATGCTTATTTAAATTTACACGAGTTGAAGGACCAGAATTAGTATTTTGCAAAGGTCTATGCCAAGAGATATCCTTATTACAAACCACTGGAAGATTAGCCCCATTCATCAACAATTCTTTTCTAAGATTACACGATGATGTTGATGCAACTGGATTAGTTGTTAACAGTGTTAAGGGATAACCAGAACTAACACCGCCTTCTTCTTTGTGACAATGAGGTAGTTGTCTTGGGCTATTACACTGTTGTTTTTTCTGCTGCTGCTGTTGCTGTTGGTGTTGGTGTTTATGTTCCAATTCAGGTATACGGGCACCGTATAGAAGGTTAAAACTTTTATCTTTAGGTAAACGTCGTAGTGATATTGTCTCCTCTTGTGATGACGACCGTGATGAAGACGATGAAGCGCACAATTTAGGACAAATCAAAGTAGTGTCACTGGGGGAAAAAAGTAGAGTAAAACTTTTTTTTTAAAAAAAGGCTTATCCGTACTTTTCTCTTCGCCGTCAAATGAGAATAATCACAGAAAACACCATTATTACTAATAGTAATCATTGATCACAATAATAGCAATAATCAGCTGGAGAACCATTGAAAACCAGGGAGTACTGGACAGCTCTTTCATCAGCCTAGTTTGGCAATCATCGGCATTACGCACCCACTGGGGTTCGAACTCAGCACCTTCCGGTTACAGCCACTGGGACCCGGCTGATGATTTCTAACTTCTACTAATTCGTGATATGGCGTGACCATCGACCAATGCCATCGGTGGGACATCCATCCTCACACGTGACATCTGGATGGACCTCACTGGTCATAACTTCTCACTAGAACTCCAGGAAACTACATCCTAAAACATGTCACTAGCGAGCATCAGATTAATATTCTATAGTTGGTTTGTAAGGCATAGTTTTGTTTCTACGAGTTGATCACGGATTGATATCAGCTAGAGAGCCATTGAATCGGGTCCCAGTGGCTGAATGGTATACGAACTTGCCTTGTAAACGGAAGGGGTTGCGTTCCAATCCCAGTGGATGCGTACTGCCGATGATTCCCAAACTAGGCTGATGAAACAGCAGCTGTCCAGTACTCCCTGGTTTTCAATGGTTCTCTAGCTGATATCAATCTGTGATCAACTCGTAAAAACAAAACTAACTCTTACAAACCAAACTATAGAGAATGATAATAATAGTAATAGGACGACAACAAGGTGGCATTTTAATAAACCACTAAGTAACTCAATAATATTGCCTAGAATATAGGTTCATATCCATAGACATCTTCAGAGAATGATAAAACACACTTAAAGCGTCACAAATCTACGCTAACTGCTTCAACAGATAAGTCATTTTTTACTTTGATTACTAAGGTTCGATTATGTATGTGCCACACCTAGTTCATTGTTTACAGCCTTATCAAGTGATGAACTATGGTTATTTAGTTAACGCCTATCTTATGCGTATATGTCACATAACACTGTCGAAATTGGATACTGACAGAGTATGATTATCTGTTAGTCGGTATAATTTGACACAGTCAATCAGTGTCATTCATCCTGTTTGAAACTCATCGCTTGCATTCCTGATGGTTGATGGTATTCTCGCTTTGGCCTCTGAAGTGATGATGAGTGCTGGGTTCGAGTAACTGTACAAAATACGACAGTATGTTACGACTACTTACGTTGGATAAAAATGATCATCTGAAGAATTTTGATTATTATAAGTTCACTTCAAGGTAACTGACATCACTTGGACAATCATTTGAAATTAGAGAGTATTGAACAAAGGTTGTGTCACAGTCTGGGACACTTTACCAATGAAGATCCATAGACTTTCTAGTTACTGAACCCAGACCATTCATCCTTCAGCAAGCATTTATCCACTGGGTCAGGTGGAATACCTTATGAATTACTATTATTATTATTGTTCCCTTGGGTTCCTAGTGGAACATAGGGCTTCAACTGCACGTCTCCACTTGCCACTTCTGTCTTCCTTCTGCTGTACTTTTCACCTGAATCCATGTTAGTCCATACTATCTCAACCCCTCAACTCTTCACAGGATCTCCTTCATGTCACCCTTGCACTTAAATCCTACTCGCCGCTTGCTTCCCTTTCGGCCTGGTTCCACTCGAGCAATGGCTCGACGCACACGCGATGTCACCCAGCGGCGGCCTCCTCAGCGAGTGTCCATCTCTATCCATCTCCACTTTCTCCTGCATATTTGTTGGTTGGCTATTGGTTCTTGTTTTGTTTGTTTGTTCCCATAGTTTCTTGTTGGTGATTCTTTTCGATCCAGCCCTCTGATCTCCAGTATAGAGCCAGCGAAGACAGTTAGTTGTTGATAAAGGTCTGCAATAGCCTGTTGGAGATATTCTTTGTCACCCACCCGCCAGGTCTCTCATCCGTATAGAAGAACTGACTGACTTGACGTTTGTATAGAAGATCCGAATGAATTTTGTTGTTGAGGCTGAGAGACGAAGATTTCCAGATTGGTTGTTTCAGGTTGATGAATGTGTTTCTCGCCCCCCTCCTCGATTCTCGCTCGATTTGACATCCTCATCCGTCCCTACTGGCTGTAGTTGAGACAATGCTCCCTAGATAAGTGAATGAAGTGACCTCTTTCAAATCCCTCCTGTTGATAGTGGTTGGCGCTGGATGTTCCTGCTGTCGTAGTTGTTGTTGGTTGGTTAGTTATTTTCATAACCTCCGTCTTGTGTATGTTCACCTGGAGTCCTGTCTTCGCTGGCTGCTTCTTCGACCAGTTTGTCGGTTTTCACCTGCAATTCTTCGATTTTGTGTGTGTGACATCAAACGTAAATCATCCACTCGCGAAATCCAGGTCTTCTAGGTTCTTCACGTCTGTCGGTCCAGGATATCCCTCTCTTCTCGTCTCCCACTCCCTGTCTGACGCATAATCCAGTCAGTCCACCACAATTAGGAATATCATTCATTGGTGATGATAAGCACCCTTGTCTGACTCCTGTGTTTACTCCAAACGCCTCGCTGAGTTTTCCGTTGTGGATCACTTGACATGTGCCGTTGTCGTACAGCTGTTGAACAAGGTTGATGAGTATTTGGGGTACGCCGTAGTACTCGAGTAATTTCCAAATTACTTCGCGGCCAACGCTGTCGAAGGCCTTCTCAAAGTCATTCCATGCTTTGTTCTGTGATGATGATGATGCGTAGAGTTGCAATTTGGTCAGAACATGATTTGCCTTTCCTGAATCCAGCTTGTCCCAGTGGGTTCTGTATCCAGTGCGTCCTTTATTCTCTCCAGGATGATGCGACTCAGGATTTTACTTGGCGTCGACAGGAGCATGATTCCTCGCCAGTTCTTGCGGAGAGGGGCTTAAGTCACCCTTCTTTGGCAGTTTCCCGAGGTAACCTTTCCTCCAGTCAGTAGGCACCTTTCCCTTCTTCCAGGCCTTTTGCAATATGAATTGATAACTTCTATCAATTCGTGATACACAGCCATCTCCAGTCATTGTCGTCGGTGAGTGATCTGTCCTTAAAAGTACATGCTGTGCCCCTCAAGGTTAAGACTTTTCACTGGAGTTTCAAAAACTCCATTTTATTAAAATATTGATTTTTAATAGGGATTTTGTCGATTCTAAGTTAAGTGAACAAAATAAGGTGAGAAAGATAGTCAAACTTATAGTCACTTAACGTTGAGAACTACCACAAGTCTAAGGTAAACTAAATATGAACCGGCATAGTTTTAAATCATTTACACACAACTTACTTACCTGCAAGCATTTGAGCCTCTGGTTATTCTTCTTCCCCAACGTGAGTCACTATTTAATCCAGACTGATAATTCGACGGCTGTGTTGGTTCATGTGATTCTGATAACGCTTTAATAAATTTGTTATTTAAACATTCACTAACACCAAATGATTTGGCTGAACACTCTTGATCAGATGTCCGACTACTGTACTGCATATCATCGACATTTGGTAGAACAGTTGGCAAGGATTTCTGTTGTTCTAATGACTGACATTTCAACTGTTTAAATCTTTCTTCAATAAAACTTGAATTTTGATTAGACCGACTTGTTGATGCCTGATTCATCATTTGTAAGCGAGACTTATTATTCATAGGATTAGCGGTATTAGACGAGGAGGAGAGTTTAAACCATAGTGGATGACGTGAAATTTGACTTGATTTATGTTTATTATTATTGTTATTACTATTACTAGAACTACTAAAACTGTTACTAGACGTGGTATTCCTGTTCAGCATTATTTCATTGACACGACTAGTAGAGGAACTAGGTCGAGGATCAGGCAGTTTCAATAATTCTTCTATAGCATTTCTAGTAGAATGATATTCATAATCACAGCTAAGGTCGCCACCAGCCTCGGAATCAAGGATATTGTCTACATTATTGAAGTTATTTTCATAGTTTGTCTGTTGTACATTTGAGGTAATCAGTTGCCTATTATAATTATAATTATTATTATTACTATTTTCACATGTCCTAACAGAATCTGTTGTATTCACCGGGTTGGTAGCTTTATCAGAAAATTTACTTTGTCTTAAGTGTTGGTGTAATAATACCAGATTATAATCAATACTTGATCGTAAGCTGTCATGATCAGAAAGAATCTCTGATGTTGTCTGTGATATTATATCATAGTCGTGAATTTCATCCCGTTGTCTATTGTGTTGTTGTTGTTCACCATCACTGAAATCACCAATTAAACTATTCTCCGCATCACTTGACTCTGAGAATAAACGAAATTTCGGCAGTGAATTTTGATGTGTTAGATTATTGTCTTCCACACCACCACCACCGCCACGACCATCACCAACATAATCATCATCTCCGATTGTATTCTGTGCTATCACCTCTTCATCAGCGTAATTTGAATCAACATCGACATCATCATCATCGTCGTCTTCTTCTCCTATTTCCTCTTCTTCTACTTCTCCGCCGTCATCCTCCTCATCCTCCTCGACTATTTCTTCTTCTTCTTCTTCGTCCTCTTCATCATCACCATATGATACAGCTTCACTGAAACGTACTGATCCAATATCAGCATCTGCTTGCCGTTGAGTATTCCGGTTACAACTAATCCCTACTGATTGTTCATCATGCGTAGTGTTTAAATATCTTGATGATGAATTTGGCGATAATGCATCTTCACTGTTATATGAAGCGGTTAATTGACTTACATCTAGACTTGACAGAACTGATGAATTTGTTGGTTGATGTGTAGTAAGAATAAAGTTTAATATTGGTTCAGAGACAGCAATAGATAATTGTGTAGGACAATTGGACTGTAGAATTTGTGGCTAAATGTATAATGTATTGAAGAAAGAAGAGAAAAGCAAAGAAAATGAAAGTTTAAAAAATTGTTTAAAGAAAGAAAATGCATAGAATAATACTGAGAGACAGGGAGAGAAGACAATATATAAAAATATCAACTAACCTGTGAACATAGAGAAAAGAGAGGTGGTGATGAAGACTCCTGGCCAACACCACCAACAACAGCAACGACAACAAAAGACAACAATCAGCCAGCATAAATGGGAGGAACCTGAAAGAAACAACCTCCTTTACCTACCTACCTACATGGGAAGCATCGTTTCAACTACAGGCGGGTGGAACTGACGAAGATATCAAAGCAAGGATCGGGAAAGCAAGACAAGCTTGCATTACTCTCAAGTCTGTGTGGAGGTCAACAGCACTCAGGATGAATATAATAAAATCCGGATTTTCAACTCCGATGTGAAGTCAGTGGTACTTACTATACGGGTCAGAGACTTGCACTGCACCTCATAAAGAGCATCTCAAACAAACTTCAGAATTTCATTAACAGCTGTCTTCGCTCAGTACTATTCAACATCAGATGGCCGGCCAGAAAAGATCAGCCACAGGGAGGGATCTCTGGCAATGAGTGAACCAACCCAGCAGGAACCGATTGTGAAACAAATAGGCAGGAAGAAATGGAGATGGATTGGCTGGCCATACTCTGAGGAAACAAACCATCAAGTGACATCACTAGACAAGCTATTGCTCAAGTGGAACCCGAAAGGGAAGCGGGCGGCGAGTTGTTCGTCAGTGCAAGGGTGGGTGACTTGGAGGAGGTCATGTGAAGAGGAGATGAAAGTATATGGGCAAACGTGGAGCAGGTGGAAACTCTAGCAGAGAACCGAAGGCAATGGAGACTTGGGCAGCTGAAGCCATATGTTCATCTAGGAATTAAAGGATATAATAATAATAATAATAATAATAATAATAATAATAATCAACTAACCTGTGAATTAAATCCACTTGCAGATTCACCAGGTCTAGTATTCAAATTATCTTCAACACCTTCATTGATAATATTTTCAGTCTGATTAGCCGATGATATTGTCGATGTCGGCATTCTTGTAATAACTGAAACGGGAATATTCTCTGCATTTTGCCATAGAGATATTGTACTCATAGGCTCAATTGTATTACTGTTATTATTATCATCATTATGATGAACAGAAGTAGAAGTAGTAGTAGTGGTAGTCACAGGATTTTCCATTTTTGTGTTACATTCATTGTTATCCTCCGCTTTAATTGAAGAGACACGAGCAGATGACTGAGAAGTGACTGCTTCTGTTGTATGACTAGTGGATGCTTGTGAACATGGCACAGTAATAGGCATAATTGTAGTAGGATTATTTAATGAACTAGGTGTTGTTGTTGGCATTGGCGTTTTCACTGTCAAAGAATTCGTTGATTGGCTAGATTCACGACAGACCATAGTAGTAGAATTTGATGCACAAGACGCAGTACTACTACTACTACTACCACAATCAGGAACAACAGAACCAATCGAGGTTGAGGTGTTCGACACAACACTATTCGCTTGCCTAGCAACTTCAATCGACAAGCGTTCTTTTAATTCAGCTAACTGGGCATAACAATGACCTTGATTTGCTTCAAGTTGTGAAATATGCCAGTTTTGATCTCGACACTTCTGGAAGTATGTAGGCGCGCGTACCTATAAATTTAAGAGTAAGAAAATATACTTGAAGAAGAAAAAAAAGCTTCCAGTAAAAGGACAAGAGGGCGACAGTGTAAAGATCACTTAAAGATATCCAATCTACCATGTCATTACGCACTAATGAGTTTCCAATACTTAAAATCAGCTACTCTAGCAACCAGCACACTTTTATCCCATTCTTGTTGTAGACTCTTTCTATGGTGAATATCCCAGTGGTTAAATTTCTGAACACTAAATGACTCTGACTGCATAGAAGATATTTACTCTAGATGATTTGGAGTACATAATATGCCAAAGTTTCTCTCTGACTGGACCAAAATAAACAATCAATTAATACAGCTGGGTTTTAGTACTTAAATTAAATTTTAACTGTATGAAATATGAATGTTACAGCTGCAACTGTCAATTGAAACAAAACAATATCGTGACGGTTACAATAATCGAGACAATAATCTAGCAGTTTCTTTGCAGTGTGTGTGTGATCAGCCATCAGCAGATAATAATGAAGTACCACTTCAGTACAAAATACATCCTGCTGATTAACAACAATTTCTCCCTCCCCCCCCCACACACACATAAACATCTAAGAATATTACTTATTTAGGACAATGTAGCTCCGTCCCACACTCTATTGAGCGATTGTATGTGTGTGTCTGTGTGCGTAAGTATATGCATTGAAATTCTTTAAGCTCTTCATGTTACTGGGTTTAATCGTTCTACACTTACTTGAATTCCCTTCCTACGTCTAACCTCAGTATTACGGGCCAACAACAATGCCTAAATTCTACTCTTATGTTAACAAAGGGTGTCAATAAACTCAGTTACCCTGAACAAATAATTCATATACCTCGTAGAGAGTCACGCACTTATGATGTAAGGGCAGATGGTTCTACCTAACTGCACAGGTGGAAGTAGAAGGAGCAGAACTTGAACCCATGATCCATTAGTTGAAAACGGAATACTCAGTCCGATGAACCTCATCTTCACCGACATTCCCTGAGTATTCCTTATCGTTAGAAGGTATACACAATTTACCACACACACACACACACACACACACACACACACAGAGTATATTTGTTTGCATATCTGTAATGGTTTCGTTGAAACTAAGTCGATCATAGTCATGTTATTTCTTTTTATTCCTTCACGTTCCCGGTGGAACATAGGGGGGCTTCAAGCTATAGACTTGAAGTTCCGGTAGCAGTGCTGTTCATATTTAACGTGATGGGGTTGCTAGCCTCATTCCCATTCTTCCCTCTTTACCGGTGTTTTCACAGGCTTACAAAGAAAAAGGAGTAAGTCTGTGGCCAGGGATCGAATCCCGAACCACATACGTGTTCAGTGAACACTTCTACTGCTACAGCACTGACGTCTGTCTGTTTTCGACATAGAACTTTGCACCGATGTGCACCAGTTCAAGTTGCCACACTCCATCCTTGTAGTACACAAAGCAACACAAGAAAGTGGAAGAAATGCATAATAGAGACAGTAAACTGAGGTGTCAGACAAAGGAATAGAAGTAACGAAGAACAATGTAGTTTCATTGGAAATCATAAGTCACAAGGAGTGGATGCATCGGCGCCAGCCATCACCAAGAACGATTTTGAGCCATATTACCAATTGTCTCCAGTCTCCATTGGTTTTTACCGTCCCGAGAACCCCAACCACGAAGTCTACATACACCTTCCTACGTGGCTGGCTTAAACTAACTGTTGTGGATCTCTTCATTAACTGATGAAGGCATGTTTTGGTTCGACCACCAGTGGCTCTTTTCCAACATGACCGTATGTCAGCTAACATTTCCCATCGAGGAAGGCGATGACAAGGCATACGTAACACATGTCCTAACCATCTCAGTCGATGTAATTTCACAGCCTCGTCGATTGATTTCCCCTCCTTAACTAGCGCTCGACCCCTAACCTCAATATTGCTTACTTTATTATACCACTTCACACGGGAGACAGAGCACAGGCACCTATGATTTAAGACAGCTAATCTTTTCATGTCTTCCACTCTCAATGGCCACCGACGTACCCCATTAAGAGTGATGTTCTCTCTCAAAAATGCTGGAAATGGAAATCGCTACTCAAATTCTTAGCCACCAAAACATAATGACAACCAGTCTATTTATAATTTTCCCTATCGAACGGATACGACATTCTTATTACGCACAGATGTCAAAAAAGTGAATAAAAACGTTAGAATATTTGATAGGGGATTTTCATCCCTTAGACTTAAAATGAATTATAAAGGGTTGTCCAACAAAAAGCTACTATTCTAGATACAAGCAATAATGACCCTTAGGCGACAAATCAGGTCTTCTCATTCCTTTGTCTACCTTCATAAAGGGAACTAACTGTTTCAAATTCAATAAATTCACTTTATTATCGAACATTGGAGAACGCAATTAAAACAAAATATTTAAAAGAATATCGCACCTTAGGAATTTAGCACACTTATTAAAAAATGGAGCTGCTGTTCCCTCTCAGGTACACTTTTACCCCTTCTGCATGGTATCATAGGGGCCTGACTGAATGGAAATATCCCACAAAGTAGTAGAAAAATACTATGGATACATGTCGCCAACTACAATCATTATCACACCATTATGAATCCGTTTCGCCTAGCTAGACACATCGAAAGCTTCATTGCGACACTTTGTGATTTGAAAGGCGAATTGCTTGAAGAATAAAGCTGGATTAACATTAAATCTCTGATTTCAATCGTAGAGGAGTCGCGTCAACGACACACGTGGCCCACAGTCTCTGATTCAGTTAGTATTACTGTGTAACACGGTGTGATTTATCAAAATAAAATCTTATCCATAATGGAGTTATGCTCTAGCACAGTGTCCAAGTTTTATACTTATATGTAAGTCTGGGAAATACGGAAGTTTAAGGGGAAGGCTAGCAATTCCACCCTGTAAAACCGACATTATGCCTACTAAAACTCAAAGGATTCAAGCTTCGATCCCTACCTTCGACGTGTGGACGAATAAGAAGAAATCAGCTATAAGGCCCCTTTCATATTTTAGATTTATTTGTTTCACTCTAGACACTACACTAAGTATTATTTACTATTATTTCCTTTAATTCCTAGAAAAACATATGGCTTCAGTCGCGCGTCTCCATTGCCTTCGGTTTTCTGCCAACTTTTTCACTCCGCTCCACGTCTGCCCACATGCTTTCATCTCCTCTTCACATGACCTCCTCCAAGTCACCCACCCTTGCACTGATGACCAACTCGCCGCTCTCTTCCCTTTCGGGTTCCACTTGAGCAATAGCTTGTCTAGTGATGTCACTTGATGGTTTATTTCCTCCGAGTATGGCCAGCCAATCCATCTCCATTTCTTCCTGCCTATTTGTTTCACAATCGGTTCCTGCTCGGTTGGTTTGCTCCAAGAGATCCCTGTGGCTGATCTTTTCTGGCCGGCCATCTGATCTTAAGTGGCATATAGCGAAGACAACTGTTAGTGAAGGTCTGAAATTTGTTTAAGATGCTCTTTATGACGCGTCAAGTGTCTGAACACTAAGTATTAACCGGGTATTTTTGTTGGCGAGAAGCAGTTTAGAGATAATTTCATTGGACACTAGAATCTAGTAGTATGATGTGCCTGGCTAGTGCTTTATTTGTTTGGTGCAGAGTGAATTTGATAAGTGTCACCTTTGCAATGTGGCCACCATTCTAGGTAGCTCACCATCACGGTGCACTTTGAATTGTCAATGTCAGATGGTAAACCCACGTAAACCCTTGCTTAACCTAGGTTTCGTGCTAGTTGCCACTCTCACCAGTCATCAACACAGCGTATCTACACGAAACCTAGGTCAAGCAAGGCTTCATGTGGCCGATTGCCTCCGACCATTCAACACAGATAGTTTTTAATAAGAAACCTATAAACCGATCTAGTTGTTCAACAGAATGATAATAGCATTTTTCAGCTAAAACAACATTATTTAATTCAATATTATGATTATTTTTTTTCCTAGTTATTAATCATAACACGCATTTTTCAAGACATTTTGAGTGATAGTCACACATGAAAAAAAAAACCCATTACAAATTTTGTATTTGTGTGTGTGTATATATATATGTACTGAGCTGTCGTCTGCCCATCGAAATTGTCAGACTGCCCTAGACAAAGTAGGCATTTTACATTACTTTGATCATTCTTTAATTAACTGGTCATCATCTAATGCAATCATTTCTGTATTTCACCTACATACACGCCGCCACACACACACCCGCCCCCATCCACTAAAAACTAAGCATTATTCATCATCAATAAGAACCAATAGCTTGAATTCATTTGAGACGTGAATAAAGCAGGCAAAGCAAAAATTGAAGAAAGAAAAAAAGTGGAGCAGGTAACTCCTTATATGGATTTCAATATTTATATAAACAATAAGATGATGTCATTCATCTGAAAAAATGTAGTGTATTTGTCCGACATATTTCGGGCAGCCTGACCACACACACACACACACAAACAAACAAAAAAGGCACTTGTCAAGCATAGTTCTCTCTAAAAAAGGGTTACTGATTGATGGTCAACACTTTAGTAAAATAGGTCAGATTTTTTAAAAGGTCACGACCTCAGATAGATAAGCGTTAACAAAATGAGTTTGGGGGTTGGGTGTGTGTGTGTGTGTATATATGTTCCACACTGTGAAACAGTATATCACCCAGATTCTACTCACCTTTTAATTTGAATAAAATAATTAATTAATATTTTTCATGTAACAAAATAAATAAGAGTGAACCACGAAAGGTTCAGAGTAATAACAAGTAATTTTTCAATACATATTTAAGTCTTTTTATAGCTAAGGCTTCAACGAATTTCATTCAGTATATATGACGCAAACCTACGCACAGAAGAAGATGCATTTGATGAGGAAGAAAGAAAGCTGACACAAAATCTGGCTGATAATAGTTATCCATTCAAGTTCACTAGGCGATGTAAATTTGTCAGAACACCAAGACCCACTCTTCAACTCGCAACTAAGAAAGACATGTACGTCAAGCTACCCTCTATATTTAAAACAAGCAATAAAGGTTAATAAAGTAGGATTTAATCAATTCATCAAATTTCGGTAGAACTCGTCAGCTCCTCAGTACTCTACATACATGGATAAATTTATATACTTTTGAAATTACATTGGGAGATATAAGACTGATAAGTGAGTAAATAAACTACATTGAATTAGTCATGCAGAAAGACGACAGGTGCGAATGTTTTCCAGGTCACATTCAACAATCTGGGAAAGACCAGTCGCCAATCCTCGACACTTCAAACTGCATATATCAATTTGAGTGTGTTTGTGGCAGCAAATACATAGGTCGTAAGGAAAGGCGATTGTCTACTCGCATGATGGAGCATTTGCCAAACTGGTTGAAAACAGCTGAGTGCAAAGTGCCAAAATCCTCAATAACAAAACATCTTGTAGATTACGGACATGATATCGACGCGGTCAAGTCATTCACCATTGTCAGCAAACAAAGAAGCAAGAAACTGCTTGCAATTGCAGAGGTTTGTGTAATTCGAATTTATAAACCAACTCTCTGTATACAAAAGGGGATGGTCGTGACTCTGAATCTACCATGGTAATACGTTTTATTATTCTCTACTTGTTATTACTATTATTCTACCTCTTCTTCTTACTATTATTGTTATTATTACTACCATTATTATTATTATTCTTGATTCATTTGAATCTATGCTTTATCCGTAAGATTATCTTAACTCACTTCAACACTATTATTATTATTGTTATTAAAACTATTACTATTGATATTAGTCTGTTTGCAATTCTCGTTATATTCCCTAATGACCAATTGTTTATCTAAGTGATGTAATTGAAGCGTAATGCAATTTATCTTAATTTTGATCTCTCATACTCTCTCTCTCTCCCCTTATCTATTTGAACATGACCTGGAAAATATTCGCACCTGTCTCTCTGTATGATTAATTCAATGTAGTTTGTTTACTTATCAGTCTTATATCTCCCTATGTAATTTCAAAAGTATATATATTCGTGTATGTAGAGTATTCAGCTGACGAGTTCTACCGAAATTTGATGAATTCATTAAATCCTGCTTTATTAACCTTTATTGCTTGTTTTAAAATTAATATTAGTCGGTATGACACAAATGACTTTAAATACTGCATTAAAACCAACTTTATGCTCACTATATCATCAAGGTGGGTTAAATCAGAGCTACGAATACATCTCGTTATTATTATTTTTGTTATTATCATTATTATTATTATTCTTGATTCATGTAAAACTATGGTTTATCAGTAAGACTATCTTAACTCACTTCAATACTATTATTATTATTGTTATTATAACTATTACTATTGATATTAGTCTGTTTGCAATTCTTGTTATATTTTCTAATGACTAATTGTTTATCTAAGTGATGTAATTGAAGCGTAATGCAATTTATCTTAATTTTTATCTCTCATACTCCCTCGCCCTCCCCTTATCTATTTGAACATGACTTGGAAAACATTCGCACCTGTCGTCTTTCTGCATGACTAATTCAATGTAGTTTATTTACTCACTTATCAGTCTTATATCTCCCAATGTAATTTCAAAAGTATATAAATTTATCCATGTATGTAGAGTACTGAGGAGCTGACGAGTTCTACCGAAATTTGATGAATTGATTAAATCCTACTTTATTAACCTTTATTGCTTGTTTTAAATTCGTATCGGGAAATAAATGTTTTCAATTCTTGAAGAAGCGTACCCTCTATATGGTGGATCATAGCAGCTTAACAACTAGACAAAGATTGAACGCTGGGGCGGTAAAGGAAAAAAACTTTCTATGCAGCTAATATAAGAATAATACATGAGAATGGGAAGCCAGTGTATCCATCTGAGCATTTAGAATATACGAAAAATGATGTCACATCCCACCGTATTTAGCAATTTGAATGTACGTGTGGATACACACATAGGGAGGACTCATCGATCTCTGCAAGTAAGGGCTACCTTCAGAGCATATTCCTAAATGGCTTCAGAGATAGATAGCATCCCCAGAACCCATTAATGGTGAAAATAGGAGACCTACCTCTTCTATCGCGAAACATATTTTAAACAAAACACGTAACATTGATGTTTACACATCTCTTAAACCTATCTAGAAAACGTGTTTTGGGGAGGGTGCATCCTAAAGTTTGTGGAAGCGCCAACTAGCGATTAGGAAGTTTAAACCACCTGTATGCATTCAAAAGAATTTCGTCATCACAATAAACCACCTTCCTTGGTAAACTTTGTTTTGATGCTAGCCAGAGTAGATGTACTATTACCTCTCTTATTTGGTTTAGTGGTCTTCATTATTACTTTTACCTTTAATATGTCCTTTGAACTTGACCTAAGTCTATTTTCTCACCTCTTAAATCATTTTTAATTTCATATATATTCCTATAACCAGTCAGTGAGTGATTAGATTGTTCGAAATGTGTCGCGCAAATACAGCAGACGCTTCAGACTTACTTAGCAGGGTCAGTTATTCTAGGTCTAGCTAAATTTTTGTGTTCCATTAATGTAGTTGATCCTGATCTACTAGTTTGACCTACGTAATTGACCTCACAATCACCATTACATGGTGTTTGGTAAATTATATCATTTCTCCTAATTACATGTATCGGGAGTGTCCTCAAGCCGACAAAGTTTATTTCTGAGAGAGAGAGAGAGAGTTGGTTGGTTGGTTGGTTTAAATACCACCTTAATTCCAGCATCATTGAGAAATCTGCGCGTAAGGTCTCTGACGTTCCTTACTGGTTTGCGTTTAGAATGAATGTTCCTCTAAACATATTTATCAAACAGTAATCTCAATTAGTTGTTAAAGGCAATATTCACGATATGAGGGGGGTGGGGGAGGGAAACCACTTATGGTAGTCATGTTTACACACCCTTTTTTAAAAGGATAAACAACAACAACAACAACTTTGAAAGTATAATATAGCTACCTGAAATTTTAATACAAGTGAGTCTGTTTCACTATTCAAATAACCTTCACTAATTAACAGATCCAAACGAAAGAATCGATTATAGCCCCAACATTCACCGACTTCAAAGTGTGAAGCGAATTCACGCACAATATTACGACTAGGATCACGGGACAACTGATGAACCATTTCAACACGATATTCATATCTAACAGAAAGAAGAAGAAAAAAGGAAATAAAAATAAAAAGAGAATGAACAATCGGCCACATTAGGGAATGCAATCGATTAATGAGATGGTGTGATGAATACAAATTTGCATATGTTTACTTTTTAATGTGCTTGGGACTGTTATGTATGTTAAAATATTCATTGACATTATCTGACTGTGCCCTAAGCGAAGTAGACTATTATGTAGTTGGTAGGCTTGAGGGGATTTGAACCTTTGGCCTTGAGGAGGAGGATAGGAGTAAAATGTCTAGACAACTAAGGGAGAGAGGGAGAGAGAGAGAGAAAGAGATGAAATATTCCTTGTACCAATTTCCTAGCGCAGTCAAAATAAAGCTAACCAGAAAGTGTGTATAGGAATAATGAAGGAATAGTGATAATAATAGTAATATCCAAAAAAGGAAACTTAACCTAAGGTCAATGAATTACAAAAACAATCAAACTAGCAGTGGATTTAATTTTCCAAGTTAGATAAGCCAAACAACAAAATCAACACTGACATTAAGTGTCGTCAAAAACGTATTCCAAAAACATGGACCTCAACAATTGTCATTCCATATAGAGCGGAGACAACAGACGATATCAGGAGAATACTCAATAAGCGCAGCATCAGAGTTTTCTTCAAAAACATAAGACACACTGAGAAACAACCTTGTCCATATAATAGACCAAATCTATAAATGCTTAGAATGTGATGCGATATACATCGGACAAACACTGCTAGTAAGGAATCGAAATCAGAAGAAATGAACACTGGCGCTATATGTATTCGACCACCGAAAAATCCGGTTGAACTAGAAAAGCATAAAAAATCATCAGCCACAGCTCGTCTGTTTGTCTCTGTCTGGATTCAACATGTGCGTCGGTGGCACAGTGGTTGGGACTCTCGCCGACCATGCACATGGTCCGGGGTTCGAGCCCACGCCGACGCACACCTGATATCTATGGTTGGCCTGCGAATTTCGGGCTACCGATATCCACGCTGAAAATTCCACACTTGTCCCAAAAATACGGTGTGGAATCAAGCTGTAACCAAAAAAAAAAATAGAACTTGGCACCGAAGTGCAGCAGTTCCAGTTGCCACATTTCAAATAGCACACAAAGGTAAACCAGAAGACGAGTGGAGAGAATCAATAGAGTTCCACAAGCATAAGAGTGAAACAAAATGAGTAATTGTAGAAAGGAATATGAAAGATTACAGAGACTGAATACATCTGCGCTGGCCATTGACAACGATTTTGAGCCATGTCACCTATTGTCTCCAGCCACTGATTCCTAGAGTCAGTCCTGAGGGCCCCAACCCGGAAGTCTGCATTTCCCTACCTGACTTAGTTTAACTGTCAAGGATTTCATGGTTTGATGCCATGTTTTTGTTTGGCCACCACTTACTCTTTTCCAGCCTGCATCTTTATCAGCCTGTCGGGGGAGGCGATGGTTACGCTAGCTCGTCTACACGCTATAGAATCAGGTCACAAAACTGATTTTGACAATATTGAAATCACCACCCAGAAAAATTTCAGAAATCACAAAGAACGTCTCATATCAGATGGTTGGAGGCAATCGGCCAAAGGAAGCCTTGGTTGACCAAGGTTTTGTGCTAGTTGCCAATCACCAGTCACACAGCAAGGCGTATCTGCAACCTTGAAGGAACACTCATGTCCCTTCTGAGATTCGAACCTTCGTCACCCAAGCTGCAGTCGGAGATGTTACTACTGAGCTATTCGGGTTCCCGATTGACCTTCTGTGGGACTGGATGTAGTGAATAATTTGATTGGAGACTAGTAATTACTGCGATGTGTCTAGTCCTTACTTCGGTACAGGCTGAATTCGATCAGTCAGGTTCGCAATGTGACCACCATTCTACGTAGTCCACCATCACGGTGCACATTGACTTGATGATATTAGATGGTTGGAGGCAATCGATAGGACCTGAATGATAGAATTCAGTCTCACCGAAGTAAGGACTAGACAAATCGCACTAGTTACTAGTATCCAATCAAACGTCTCATATCATCAAAAACACTTCATATCAAGTGGAATCCAAATTATCTGAATAGGGATGATGGACTAAAACAGAATTTGACCTGGTTACAACACCCCCATCATCCCCCGTGAAATGATAAAATCAACACGAATGTGATAAGCAATTTCATTATGTAGACGCATTCTGCTTTTATAATTTTACACACTTATCAAATCCAACAGTCATATACACCTGATTTTGTTATCTTTACCAATTGGCCGACTTGGCAACAACGCAAAAATGACCCCATGCTGAGTAACGATGATCAAGTTGCTATATATATCAGCTCAGTGGATTTTACGAATTCTGGTTTAATATTACTACTTTGATAAAGCTATTAGCAGCAGAATTAAATAGCGAAACCTCAGTAAAAGCGACAATATCGTTTTGTTTTCCATTCATTCATTGGGAAATACAAAAAGAACCTTTATTATAATCAATGAACAGACTGAAATGACGAAGTAATTTTCTTTTTTCCTTCACGTTCCCCAGTGGAACATAGGGCTTCAAGCTAGTGGCTTGAAGTTTCTAGGGTTGCTAGCGTCATGCCCAACCTTCCTCTTTACCGGCATTATTTCTGGCTTAAAGAGGTAAGGGAGTGAGTCTGCCGGGGATCGAACTTTCGATTGACTTTCATTGGCGTTTACACGTTACGAGTTAAGAGAAAAGTCTGTCCAATGTTGTGCAGCTCAACTACAGTAAACGATTTTCAAATATATCAGTCAGTGTGGGAGCCAATTGTTGAACGAGTTCTATAAACAACAGATGTCCAGTACTATTTTGTTTTTAATCCATCATATGAGTCATCTCATCCAAGAAAGAAAAAAGAAAAATAAAGTAGGACAAGAACAATCATTTGAAAACCTCCTACCCACCTGCCAGATTACCTCTGGAAGAGAACTGAAAACACATTTTAACCGTTTACATCTAGGATATTTACAACTGTGGTAACCTTCAATTGAAGGCTAATCCCTGTGTTTACCTTGAACATCCGGTTATTTAGGGAGAGAGAGAGAGAAATAGAGGCTTGATTGTTAGTCAAACCGGTTAGCTAGCAGCTTATTTATTATTTTACATCGATTTTATGAAGGGTAGAAAATCTAAGTGAAAGAAAATCACAATAATAATAATAATGTATGCATATAGGTCAGGCAGAAACCTAGTGTGTTCAAGGCGACGTATATATGTATATACTGGTGTCTGTATGAAATGTAAAGACGAAACGGTGTTTACAGTGAGAAGAAAAATTAATAGTCAGTTTAGAAGTAAGAAAACCACAATGCTTTTCTATCTCGATACTATAAAATAAAAACAACACACGAAAATAATGAGATCAATCATTACAACAACAAAAAAGTGTTACAGAAAGAATGAATAATGAATGAGCAGTGAGTCAGGATATGCGTGATGAATCCATTTGGGCAAAAAAAGAGTGTGCTTACAGATTTGATGAGCGAATGGCTTCTTTTTTTTTTAAATGATAAAATCTGAACTTTTTAGCATTCTTCAGCAAGATGTATCTACATTAACAGAATAAATGGTGTGGTCAATGATTCAGTGATAGACTGCTCGTCAATCATGCAAGTGGTCAAGGGTGCAATGTCTCGGCCGACGCACTCTTAAGCCTCACTGAGACGGCGGCAGTAAGACAAGTAAAGAAAGAAGGTTGGATAATAATAATAACAGTGGGTTTGTTTCAAACAGTTTTGTCGATTCAGTTTGGAAACTTTAGCATGGATTATAGGATCTAATGTTCTGTTGATATAGTATAGTGAGAGGAAATACAAAATTAACAGTTATTCACACAGCTTAAATGATGTTCATACTTATGAAAAAAAATAAACAAAAACAAATAATTGAGAGGATTATAGATTTAAGAAGTACAATAACAATAAAGTTTGATGGTGTAAGGGTGGAGGAAATGGTTTATTTAATAGTGCAAAGAAAGTTAGTTAGTTCATGTCTAAAACTATTTTCATCACAAAAAGTACGTGCCAAATATGGTATCGTGGTATTTTTATACTTAGACCTATGTGCGTAAAGGTCTTCTGGAAAGACTTCTTGTTTTACCTGAGGAGGAGACACAAGATTGGAGCTGTGGGTGCTGCAGTGGATGCTCACCGTCTGACAAAATTCCTTAAGCAAATTTGTTGCATGACATCAAGTGTCTATCAGTGACAATGTCAACAATATGGCCCAATGGGTTACCAGTCTTCCTACCATATCCAAAGTCATAATCACGCATAGTTCGCCTACGTCTCCTATATATATAGCTGAAGGCGTTGTAACAAGACCTCTCCTCTCTTCCCCGTTACTCCTTTTTATCCTTTTGCTGATTATAAATTTATGCTGTTCATTTTAACCTTCTTTCAGCACCATCGAATTCTTCATTTATACAATTCGTACTTATTATTATTATTAATGATACTATCTCTGTTCTCAATGTATACCTCCACTTGTTTTATTTCATATATTGATTAGTTCATGATGAACTTCTCATCGCAATCCGACTATCTCATCTTTGAGGCATAGCATTTTTTCGCTAACCACTAACCTGACACTTTTACAACCTTGAGCTGGCTCATCAATTTGCCTTCCCTATATTGTATGAATCAATATGACTACTAATCACCACCACCACCACCATCGTCTCTCATCTCACAATATTTTGTAAGTGAATTCAGCCTAGTACACGATGTTTTGTCACACAATAATTTATTTTGTCACCCTACTGCTAATCTGAAATTGAAAAGAATATTCTTCGTTCAGATTGACTTTTAATTCATAATATGGGTATATTTCACACTATCTAATCTGAAATTCATTCTATATACACATGTATCCACCGTGTAACTGGTTATTATTGTCACGATAACAACAAACAACATTGCATTTTATAACTGCAAAAACCTGTAGAAGAAAGAGAATGTGGTGAGAAAAAATACACTTTGCTCAGACT